CAGCAGGTCACCTGACCATCCAATCCTTCCAGCAGGTTCCAGCACATGCCAAGGTATACCAGCTACTTCCATGTCATAAAGGCTTAAGTCATGTCTCTTGACCAACCAATGAGCTGGTGCCCTGACAGCACAATGGTCTCTAAGGCCCAAAAATAACTGTGGGAATATCAGCCTGACACACCCCACCTCTGGTGGGGTTGTTCAACAGGACACAGGACATGGGGCATGGGACATGGGACATGGGACACAGGACATGGGACATGGGACATGGGACACAGGACATGGGAGATGGGAGATGGGAGATGGGAGATGGACACAGGACACAGGACACAGGACACAGGACACAGGACACAGGACACAGGACATGGGACATGGGACACAGGATACAGGATACAGGACAGGACATGGGACACAGGACATGAGACATGAGACACAGGACACAGGACATGGGACATGGGACACAGGACCTGGGACATGGGACATATCATGATGGAATATGGGAACTATAAGACCCTTGCACCTAGAACGATGAGCGAAGCGAGACGGGCTCCCCTAGTCTCCATCCAAGACAATCGGGAGCCCGTCTCAGAAGAATCCAAGTGCCTTCAAGCTCAGCAAAGTGTCTCGAACGCACTCGCCCATAAGGTGGAACTTGATTCCTAGTTCTCTTTTTGCTTTTTCGTTGCTCGTAACCATGTACACCGTGTTCCTGTCGCTGCCTGGTGTCCCCTTTGGAAGCTGGTCGACGTCGAGCCCGTCGATATGACCGAACGCTTGGACAGAGTCGTACATCATTTGCCAACTGAACGGCCCGCCACCAGCGATGAACCGATTGCCTCCGGCCTTTTGCTGCAGGAGCGCTTGGGTGTGTATTTCGGCGACATCGCGTACATCCGCCCAGTTGCCTGCCTGGCGTCCGGCATCTTCGCCCCTCTTAGCGCCTTCGGGCGTGAAGGCAACGCGGAGTTGGGCGATCGACGTGTTCAAGCGCTCAACCGATGCACACTCGTGGATGATAGTCTGTGCAGCATGATCCCATTAGCGCATCAAATCGGGCAATGGAGTAAGGACATACCCTGTAAATCATTAGAGGGCACACGGTCACCAGATCCCAAGTCGGCTTCTGACCGTCTACAAACTCCCACGCAGCTCGTTCGGCAGAGACTTTACTGAGGCGATACTTCTCCATCCCCGGCGCGTTGATCCCCTCCCGTGCGACGATGTCGGCGCTCAAGGTATTCCAGTCCGTTTCTGTGAAGACGTGTCCTGGCTCGGAGGGTACGGTGATGGATGCGATCGACGAAGTGATGATGACACGTTTGACACTCGGACTACGGAAATCACGACAATAAATAACCAGATCATCTTCAACTGCAACATGATAGTCACGCAGTTGAACGTCTGTATGCTTTCCAGTACGCCCTTCGTGCCCTGGACGGCGGGGCGCACGAGATCCTCGGGGTCTACAACGTTGACCTGGAAAGGCGATGCCATATGGAGGACCGCGTCGACTCCCTTGACCGCCTCATCGAACGCATTGGGCGGGCGGATATCGGGAACGATCGTGTAACTGAAGTTGGAGTTCTTGTATAAGTTTACGAGGTACTCGCCCTTCTCTTTAGAGCGGACTGTACCACGGACCTGCACTTGCCGAGTCAGATTACTGTCATCGAACGAGCAGGTACAACAGACACACCTTGAACTCCTTCTCTAGGAGTGTCTGGCATGCATGGGCTGCCAAGAATCCAGATGCACCAGTGACAAGAACAAGGGCGGGCGGCTGGACAGCGACCATCTTCAGGCACTAGCCTCACTTAAATTCGAAAGAAGGTCGAGGCGGGCGGGATTGCTTTGTGGACATCATCCTCGCATTGTCGGACGATGGTATTTATATATATGCAGCCGTGCACGCCTTGTCCATTTGGGGCATGGTCACTTGTGTCGACCCTCTTGACATAGCTTGGTCAGCTTCATAAGCAGGTCATGTTGCAAGCACCGGGCAAAACACACTAACTGGAGATAGGATCTCTGATTCTTGGACTACGCCGGATAACTCGCCATCTACAGCAGTTGCCTGATGTACATTGAGCGGGATAACAGCACCGGGCTGGGAAGGAGAAAACACCTAGGCGCTTGGGAAAAGAGGTGGCAGTGCGAACATATGAGGACCGTGAGGACAGGACTTGTCCGAAGTTTAAGCGCTCATCGACGCACTCTGCCCAGCCATGCAGCCTTTTATAATCACCTTATACTTTTGGACTCAATCTGCACGCTTTAGTTCACGTCGTCCTATTATCTAGGAGACAAGCACCTAATCGTCTACAAGTGGGCCCACTTTTCGATACACCGGAGGGTCGGGGACGTCGGCCTGTCCTGTCTGGTTTATGATCCTCTCCTCACCGCCTGGTGTCTGCAAAGTGAGGACATCCCAGCCTCCTGGCCTCTATGTTTCCGGTGCAGGCTGTACCGGAAGACTGGCAGGCGCGGCCCTGATTGAGGCGACGAAAGCCCATGCTTGAGTTGACGAAGGTGCGCTGACACCCACCTACTCTGGCTGGAATGGACCTGCCAAATATGACGTCGCTCAGGTCTAGATCCTGCGTCTTCAAGGGAGACTGTGAAATCTTGGCAAGCATCTTTAGCATCTTTATCCTTCCTCATTCTAACAATTTATCCGATCTTCTACCCTCAAGCGTACTCTCAATGAAATCCATACTCCCTCAAGCTCAACAACGTATCCTTCATCGACTCTCCCATGGATCTAAACCTAACTCCCAGCTCCTCCTCCGCCTTCTTACTAGAATACACATCATACACCGTCTCCCTATCCGAGCCCGGTGTTCCCCTAGGCACTTTCTCCATATCCAAGCCCTCGACCTTCCCAAGCGCATGGACACTGTCGTACAGCATCTGCCAGCTATAGGGCCCAGCAGCGCTGATGTACCTCTGTCCACCAGCACGGTCCTGTGCGAGAGCCTCGACATGCACGAGCGCGACGTCTCGCACGTCTACCCACGTACCGGCCTGCTTCCCCGCTTCGGTCCCTGTCTTTGCTCCTTCCGCGGTGAACCCGTCTCGCAGCGCAGCAGTTGAGGTATTCAAGTTCTCCACCGCGCTAACACCGTGAATCAACGGCTATAACCCTGTCAGCCCAGCCCAGCCCAGTCCAGTCCGGCAGTCAAGCCCACGCACCCCAAAGATCATCGGCGGGCAGATGGTCACCAAGTCCCAACTCGGTTTTTCCGTCTGCACGAATTCCCACGCAACCTTCTCGGCAAACACCTTGCTCGTCCGGTACTTGTCTATCCCGGGCGCGTTCACCCCTTCCCGAGCGACGACATCCGGGCTGTGGGTGTTCCATGTCGATTCGGTGAAGACTGTGCCGGGGGTGCAGGGCATACGGATAGAGGCGATAGAGGAAGTGATGACGATCCTCTTGATACTCGGGCTAGGCATCTGTCAGCCCTTGCACTCACCCCAACCCAGCCTAACCCAACCCAAGCAAAGGAGACTGACTTGATCTTCTGCACACTCTCCAGCACCCCCCTAGTCCCCTCCACCGCAGGTCCAATAACCTCCTCCGGCTCAACAGCCCTACTATGAAAAGGCGAAGCAGTATGCAAGACAGCGTCTACGCCTTTTACGGCTTGGTCGAACGCTGTGGGGGCTTGGATGTCGGGGACGAGGATGTAGCTGAAGTTGGGGGAAGAGAAGAGGGAGAGGAGGTAGTGGGCTTTTTCTTCTGTGCGGACGGTGCCTCGGACCTGGGCGAACGAGCGAGCGAGCGAGTGAGCAAGTGAGCAAACGGAGTGAGCAACTTAGCCAGGGAGGGGGAAGCGAAGACACACCTTATACCCCCTCTCGAGTAACACCTGACAAACATGAGCAGCCAAGAACCCAGATGCGCCCGTGACGAGCACCAGAGCGGGAGGGAGGACGCCGGGCATGTCTGTCTGTCTCTGTCTTTATACCTAGCCTAGAAGGAGGAGGAGGAGGAGGAGGAGGAGGAGGAGTAGGAGTAGGAATGGGAGTACTTTGGGTGCAGGGGACTGGGCCAGGGAGGGGAGGGACGGAGGGACGGAGGGACGGAGGAACCCCTTGTCTCATATACCTTTGCCTAGAAGGTATGTATGTATGTGTGTATCGGCGCCGTTCCTCATGGCCGGATTAAACCCATTCGACGGGGCGGGAGCGGGCCGACATACTCCGGCTCAAACAATGCGAGAGTATTAACCCCGCGAACAGCCCACGAGTATTACTTCAGTCAATCGAATGCATTACATTTATTCCCCCCCTGCTACTTAATTCTCTCATCCCCTATAAGAGACGCACTAGTACTCTACTCAATGAAACCCATACCCCTTAAGACTAACAAGCGTATCCCTCACACACTCCCCCAGAGGTCTAAAGCTCACCCCCAGTTCCCGCTGGGCCTTCTCACTCGAAAACACGTTATACTTCGTCTCCCTATCACTACCCGGAGTGCCCTTATTCAGTGCTTCCAGATCCAGCCCCCCCCCATCAGGAACGTTAACAGACTGTGCGGAATCGTACACCATCTGCCAGGAAAACGGTCCCCCGGAGGCGATGTACCTCTGCCCGCCTGCTTTCTCCTGCGCCAGCGCCTCGAGGTGTACTTGCGCGACGTCCCGCACGTCTACCCAGGATCCAGCTGAGGAGCCCGCGGCGGCGCCGGTCTTGGCCCCGCTGGGAGTGAAGGCAGAGTGCAGGGCGGCGATGGAGGTGTTGATCGATTCTACCCTATTGACTTGATGTATGATCGGCTGCTCGTGGGGAAAAGATCAGCGGGGTGCACTCTCAGGAAGGCACTGGCAGGGACGCACTCCGAAGACCATAGGCGGGCAAACAGTGACCAAATCCCACCCCGGGTTTTCCTTCTGTACGAACTCCCACGCCGCGCGCTCGGCAAGCACCTTGCTCGCTCTGTACTTTTCCATGTTGGGCGCGTTTATGCCTTCGCGCGCCACGCACCCCGGGGAATAGGTGTTCCAGTCTTGTTCGGTGAACGTTGTCCCTGGCTTGCAGGGGACTAGGATGGAGGCTACGGAGGAGGTGATCACTATGCGCTTTATTGCTGGGCTGGCACAAGCGTCAGCTTGTGCGATGCGGAATAGAACGGAATGGAGGGCGCACTTGAACTTCTGCACACTCTCCAATAAGCCTTTCGTCCCCTGTACCGCCGGACCGATAAGTTCCTGGGGATCAACAGCTCTGCCATGAAACGGGGAGGCGGTATGCTGGACTGCGTCTACGCCTTGGACGGCTTGGTCGAACGCTCCTGCTGCTTCGATGTCGGGTACGATGAGGTATGTGAAGTTTGGAGAGGAGAGGAGGGAGTGGAGGTATTGACCTTTTTCTTCTGAGCGGACTGTGCCTCTGACCTGGGCGAGCGAACGAAGTGAGCGAGTGAGAGAGTTGGGCAGAGAGGGGAAAGGAGGTAGCGCACCTTATACCCCTTCTCTAGGAGGAGCTTACACAGGTGAGCAGCGATAAACCCACTTGCCCCAGTGACGAGAACAATCGATGGAGGGAGGACAGCGACCATGATGTATAGGAGGGAAGTAGTGTTGGGTGGAGGGGAGAGGGAGTGAAGGGGTATTTATGTGCTGGCTGCGGTTGTACGGGTGTGTCCGATTGTCACGAGGGAGATACCAGTGGACTGGAGGTTGATCCCCTTGTGTGTTCTCACCAGTGGGTCATAGGATATGACGGGGGCCGATAAGGGACATCTTATTCCCAACATGAATGTGGCTATGCAGAATCCACTTCTATTCAGGGCACGCGTCTAAACACCACGCGTCACTCTTCGCTTCATCGATCCATTAGTCTCATCTACCATCCTATCCATCTACTTCTATATCCACATACCTCCCCGACATGGACATGGACATGGATATGGACGTCGACACAGACGACATCCCCCAAGAACAAGATCGCATAGTATGGCAATCATCCCAATCCGCCACAAAGGACCTCCTCTCCTCATATTATCTGGGTACGCTGCCCCCAATTCGCCCCTTCTGGAAGCTGACGAAGAACAGATTATAGCGCACCTATGAGCGGGGTTTTTATCCCACCAGCTCAACTCCCAGAGGGGTTTATGCCCAAACCTCTAGAGAGGAAACGTCCCCGCAGACCACCTCACTCCCACACGCACACACACACGCATTCCCACCCTCAACCCCATTCCCGCCCCTCTACGCGTCGCACAAGCCCAACCACAGGCGCAAGCACATCCTCCGCCCCCCAAAAGACACCCAATCCCTTACCCGGAGCCACGCCTGCATCCGCATTCATATCCGGGGGCACACCCCTAACCACTTCAGCTTCAAGCACTCAAGACCCTTTACTATTGTTGGCGAGGGTGATGCAGGATCATGAGCGGCGGGCGGCTGCTCGGGGTTCGCAGTCCCAGTTGCGCTCTCAGCCTCGGGGGGAGGGGAGGGGGAAAGGTTCCGTCCAGGCGAGTGATAGGGAGCGGGAGAGGGAGAAGGGGGAGAAGGAGAAGGACAGGGACAGGGGGATGGTCCTCGCAGATCGGACAAACGTCTCCCCTCGACGACGCCCTAGTACCCGATCTAGAGGGAGAGAGGGTGAGAAACCCCTGATGGCGGGGTCTGCTCCAGATCTTGGAAGCCTGTGCAAGACAGCGAGACTCGTTGGGCTTCCTCTGGCCGCTTCGACCCAGCCCCATCCCCAGGCGCAGCGTACAGCTCAGTCGGAGGACACTCTGCTCTCCATACCTTCCCTTTCCCAGGCTTGGGCCTCCCAGGCACACTCGCACAACACTACTCTAGTAGGGCTGGGCCACAACGCCCCATCAAACCCCGTCCCCCTTCCCGGCGGCCAACCTCCCCTCCCCTCAAGAACCTCAAACGCAAACGCACCGGCCCGCACCCCTCGCCCACCCCGCCGGTCCGCTATTTCCCCCCTGAACCAGGGAAAAAAGCACAAGATCCCATCCTTTCGTCCTCCAGCGGTTGTGGCTCTGGGCGTGCAAGGGTCTGCACTACCTGCCGCTGGCCAGGCAGCTCTCGGACCTGGGGGGCCTGGGGGACAGGCATCGGCGGGGTTAGGGGGGTTGGGGCTGGGGCTGGGGTTACAAACTCCTGTTAGGGGCGTGGCGGGTTGTACGAGAAGTGCGAGCCGGCGCGCTGCTTTGGCGCAAGAGCAGAGCGCCCAGAGCGCTCGAAGTACGCGCAGTACCCGGAGTACTCGAAGTACGACTGGTACGACAAGTATGAGCGCAAACACGAGCGGGAATGGGACTGGGTGTGCCGCTGGGAGAGCGGATACGAGTGATGACTCGTTTGGGTTTGTATTGGATTCGGAGCTGGAGGAGGTGATGAGGCTGTATGACGCTTGACCCATGTCGGTTGGCCTGCTTTGACCGCTTACCATGGCTTGCTTAGCGCACATGAGCTGAAGGGGGAGAGTGCACTCGGACTGGGGTAGGGCGAGCAGGGTCTCGATAATCTTCTTTTGGGTATTACATTTACGTCCGATCGATCTCAGACTGTTCATTCTGCTGTACTGTACCAGGGGAGAAAACAACCAGCTGAGACCGATGACCGGGTTTGGCAACATTCGGTGCTCGAGCTCATACCTCTGATGCTGTAAGCTGTGAAACTGTTATATCGCAGACCGTCCTTGCATCATCCCGGGCCAGTAACTGCAGGTAGGAGCCTCATCCCCCGCAGTCTGGCGATCCGGTGACTCGTCCTCCCCCGTGCAGGATATGCATATATAGTGTGTGCCAATCCCTTTGGGAAGGGAATCGTCTCCACCGGAGCGCTATCCAAGTGCCTCATCCATAAAACCTATTCCCAGTTTCCTATAAGTCCTATAAGCAGGAACGCGCTCTTCCCCTAAATGTTGCACTCGAACCTCCAGGGAACGGTCATGATCCACCCGGCACCCGGTACCGTGCTGGCCAGATGCCGAATCTCATAGCTCGCAGTTGGCTTGCGAGAAGTTCACTAGCGTCACGTCACGCTGCCAAGAGTCGTACAAGCTGAGCAAAGTGTTTCAGAGGACATGTACAGTGCGAAACTTGTTCGTTCTGAACTAGAGTTTTGTGGCTGATTGGTACTGGCTCTCCGTGTGCTGTGCGTCTTGCTATTCCTGGCTTTCCCTTTCTCGCTGGATATTCCTAGCAGCCACAGTATGAAGCTTATGAAATCTCCCAGGCCGCTCACGTTCGACAATCCTCACCAAACGCTCATCAACCCCCATCAACTCTCTACGAATTTCGTATGCCATGCGGAGGACTATACGCCGAATAAGCGCCCGTGTTGACTTTGGACGAATTCTTGATTATCTGAATACCCGGGATCAAGCCCGAGGCTTCTGGCCGTGATCGGAGGATGACTAAGATACGCCCCCATTACGCCCAAATTCGGTTTATACGATGGTGCAGCATGACGACGACGTTACTGTAAGGGAGAGGTTGAGTACTACCGAGGGAGCGCACTAGTCGTTGCTAATCTGTTTCATCGTCAAGCATCTATTTCAAGCACTTCCAACGCACAGCCTGCTCACCCACAGCGCTCAAGCAGAACAAGACATTGTGCGATATCTTCGATTCTGACAATCTCTGTACCGCCCTGACTGACTGTTTACAATCACGTGTGGCTCGGCTCTTTAATCTCTCGTCGAATAGAAGATTTTATGGATGAAAAGAAGGTCATCCTTCTTTTGGCTTACAGCGGCTGGATGTAGGGCTTAGCCAACAATGCACCGCCTATCTGCCGCAGAGGATTCAGTGATCCTTTCCATCAAGTTTTCGGAGTCACCCATCACCGCTTGGGATGCAGGGCTGCAACGTCCTCTTTGGAAAAGCCTCATGTGCCATACTGCCATTCTAGTTGCTGTCCCTCAAGTCCTAAGGCTCATGAGACTCTGCTTCCACAAGCCACTGCATGACGTGTGAAGCGTGATTTTCGGAGCTATTAGCCGACCTCTGGATTCCCTGTTGTCAAGTAATCCGATGGGGCATCTTCGTTTTTCAGCATGCCGCCTGGACAGATAAATCCCAGCCCTCAGCCTGCTGCTTCTCCCCAGTGTGCGATCGAGAACACCTCCTGTGATCGTCCAGCAAGTTCAGAATGCCGCCCATCCCTCAACGGCAAACAACCTACGGTTCTATAGATGGCGTGCCATACGTCGAGCCCCCTGCTCATCCTCGTCGGCTGATCGTCTGTTTTGACGGCACGGCCAACCTGTTCGACGATGCGAACACGAACATCGTCCACTTGGTTTCCTATCTGAAGAAAGACGATCTGCAAGAGCAGCAAGTCTACTATCAGGTGAGGAACAGTTTCTCCCTCGGGCTCCAGGCTCCAGAATTTGACGCCCATCAAAGACAGGCGTCGGGACTTACATCCCTCCTGGAATTTTCATGCGTTTCATGGTAAACTTCCTCAAAAAAATGGATGAAGGGTTTGCGTGGGACATTTCAAACCACGTAAGTGCACGTCATGGGCGTGTCTTTCTGGCTCATACGACTTTGTGTAGATCATGGGCGGGTATAAATTCCTGATGAACAACTGGACACCCGGGAGCAAGATCTCCATCTTCGGCTTTTCTCGCGGCGCTTACACGGCTCGTGCCCTAGCTGGTATGCTCAAAAAAGTGGGGCTTCTTTCGCGTGGGAATGATGAACAGATCCCCTTTGCGTACAATATGTACACCGACACGAGTGCTACCGGGTGGACACAGAGTCGAGGTTTTAAGCGTGCGTTTTCCCACGAAGTGCATGTAGATTTCCTCGGTGTTTGGGACACTGTCGCTTCAGTTGGCGTATTCACTGTCAGGGATCTGCCCCTCAGCTCGTCGGACCGTCATATCCGGGTGTTCCGAGTCAGTGGTAACCGTTCACTTTTGAAAGCGTCGTCTGATTCACAACCTAGCACGCTATCTCACTCGACGAGCGGCGTTGCAAGTTCAAGGAGAATCTTTGGCAGGCGCCGTTCATTCCTCCCGGGACATCACAAACGCTGCACGAAGGGGAAACAGAGTCAGCATCGCTCTCTGATCACCACAAATACGTCCCGGTGCCGACCGACATAAGCATGGAGGAGGAAGAGGGCAGCATCGATTTCTCTCTGGAACAGCGCGCGCCAACGGACGTTCTAGAGGTCTGGTTCTCGGGTGGACACGGCGGTACGCACGGCGCTGTCTCCCTTCCCCGGACTTGACTGATCTTTCGCAGATGTTGGCGGAGGTTGTGCCCAGAATACGGAGCGTTTCAGTGCCAATAGGATCCCACTTACATGGATGATCCGCGAGATCGTGCTTGCCAACACCGGCATAGTGTTTGACGAAGCTGCCCTGGCGGCAGATGGGATCATCCTTCCGTCTCCCAACCCCCAGAGGGTCCTTGCCAGGGATACAGCAGGACATGTCCAGCAAGCCCTTGCACCCGAGAACCATCTTTCCAACCTCAACAAACGGTATGCCGAGGATACGGTTGCACTCATTTCGGACCAGCTCAAGCTCGTCCGGTCTTGGTGGATCATTGAGATCCTTCCTTTCACCTACCGAATAGCGACAAAGCAAGGCGGACCAAAACACTGGAGACTTTCTCCTTGGTGGGTTGCTTTCTGAGGCGTCGAAGTTCGTCAGCTGACATCTCGTATGTAGGCCGAATAATGGCGCACCCCGGTTTACACCGGATGGGAGGATGAAAGTGCACGTCTCGGTGCGGGAAAGGATTCAGCGCACGAGATATGTTCCGAATATTGTATGGGAGTTGGAGCCTGAGTGGGTGGATTGAGCGCTCGGTGTCTGACGACAGATGCGTTGAGGCTTCACGCGAGTGATTGGTTTGATTTTCTGTAATTGTAACGACCTTGATTGATGGATCTGATAATGATTTTGAATAATACGACCACTTCATGATATTGGATATTGGATGACTGAGCCACGTCATCACCCACTCCAATCTCGCAACTCACTCACATAGGCGTCGTTCCCTTCGGTTTCCTAACCCTCAGTTCAACCGAGACATCCCCGATGATCTCCCAACGCAACTCGAGTCAAAGCGAGACATCCTGTCTAATTAGTGTTAAGATATGGCTAGTGCATTTTATGCCGACGCGTTCCGAGCACGGTCGCCTCGCGAGCCTTGCTGTGATATTTCTACTAACACTGGGATGAAAGCCCCATGTCTTTCGGTATCACGACGAGCAGCTCAAAATCTACCATTAATGATCTGGATATCCCCGGGAACGCGCTTCGGTTATCCTCATGAGAACCCCGAGGTGCCGGGATCGGCAGACCGGCATTTCCCGGACCCTTGCCTTGATATCGGTGGATATGGGAGACGAGCAGGCACTTGTGTAAGGATAATTGACGAGAGGTGGGGTATATGCGCATATGGTACTACATGTAGTACGAGCGCGAATTCGGAGATCGGCAAAGGGCACGGGAATACTCTCTCCCAAACTCGGCACTTTATGATCTTGACAGCTCTGATCTGGTCGACTTATTTTCTGTGGCCTGAGCAAAACGAACGTCTCAGGATGAACTTTTAACCCGCAAACTATGTTGGCTTGGCAAGCAAAGGGGCGTGCATCCCCTTGTTCCTGCTTGGGGGAATGCACCGCATGGCATTGCACAGCATGCATCGGCATTTTTGACCGTCAAGGTCTTTCTACATGATATATGTACAGGATGGGTGGCACAGTTTTTGGTGGATTGTCACAGATTGGAGATGGTTGGTGGTGGAGTTGGAGTTTGGATGGTGGGAAACGGAGGAGATAGATAGATAAAAGACGGGAGGAAGAGGGCAACGAGGTAGCTGTCCGTACAGCTCAGGAGCCCAATTGGTCAAGAGGAATATGGGAAATGGAACAGAGTGGAATATGTGGACGTGGAAGTGAACTGCCTAATGGAGTCTTGACCAATAGACAGATCAGGGGACGGTCCAGCGGATAGATAAAACAGCCGAGGGGAAAATGAGAAAGGAGGGAGAGATTACAACAACCCAATCCTGGGCCGGCCCAAAATGAAAAAGTCAACAAACAGATTGTCCCAGAGAGAGAGGTGAGAGAGTGGGAAAGGTGAGGTGGGGGAGGTGTATGCGCTCTGCCAATTGAGTCGCGGGCCGATGTATGCGGGTGAAGGTCGATGTATGCGCGCAAGTTGATAGCATATATGCGTGTCTTTATGCCTGGCTTAGTAGGTCGTTGCAATAGGGGCGATAACGTATCGTTTCACTAGCTCAGGGTGAGTACGAGCGAGTGAGGTAACGATGTACGACATACGCCGTCATTTTTACTCGTCGCAGTCTAAAGGGGCTCTGTCTGCCTCTCCCTCCTCGGCCTGCCAAATATCCTGTGCCTGCCCAAACCAGGCATCAAGATATCCAGCAAGCTGCGTCTCTTCTTCTTCCCTCCAAAGGGAGGGGGCAGCTCATCCGGTACCGGGTGCTTGTCCCACCCCGGTACGACGGAGGAGAGGGATGCGCTTGGGTCCGGGCTTGGGAAGGGGTAGGAGGGGGGAAGGAGGTAGGCGTCAGAGTACGAGGGAAGGGGGCGAGGGGGTGCGAACATCGGCGTGGAGCTGGATGATGCTGTTGCTGATAAGAGGGAAGAGGATTCGGGGGACGATGATGCGGAGGTGGAAGCTGATGCCGTGAGGGGGAGGTTCAAGAGCGACTCCCACGGTCCATAGGTCGTCTCTAGTCGCTCTAAGGCCTGCCTCAAGTTCCTCCTCGAAGGCCGGCGGAACCTGTCGTTGTACCGAGGCGGCGGGGTGTCGAGGGGTACGAACTCGTTGAATGCGGCTGCTTGGTCGGCGGTGTGGGAAGGAGTGACGGATACGGGGATGATGATGATTGGGGAGAAGAGGGAAGGGCGGGTTTGGTATGGTGGGAAGGATGCGGTGGGTGGGGAGGGGGATACGGAGTTGGAGGGGAGGGACATGGTCGGTCGGTGGTGTTGGGGTTGGTTGGTGGGGAGCAGGTTTATGAGAGTTCAGGGGGATGATGGAGCCAAGTCGAATGTCCAGTGCAAGTGAAGAAGAAAAGGAAAAGGGAAAAGGGACACTAGAGGAAAGAAAGGGAAAGAGGAAGATGGAGGTGTAAAGGAGGGATAAGGGGTGTATGGCCCATGGCCCACAGCCCAAAGGGCAGTACTGCGCCAAACGCATTAAGATAGCGTCGCCCCCTAGGACCCTGACTTCCGGCCCGCGTGGCTCAGAGCCTAACGCCAGCTCCATCCTATTTCCGTGAGACGCCTCGGCAGAGTGGAGCAATAAACTTCCGAGTGATTCCTCCACTCTTTTATCACGACCACCAATAATTACAATTACAATTACAATAGATATTATCAATATTACATTAACCCCCTTCTTTTTACATGGGAACGTGATAGCCTTCTCATTGAACATCACAGACCCTTGACGCCCAGGGGCAGTACCCGTACCTGAAGCATTAACACTCCGTTGTTAACTTCCGGCATGAACGGCCGGCGCGGCACACTGGATGGGGAATCCGACCGGTAAGATATCTCATGTTGACCAGTGCTTGTTGGTATTGTGGCATTGGTATGGGGACGACTTCTTATGCCGTCGGCCCCGCTCTGAGTAATTTCCTCCAATGCCCCCTCTGCGGAGACAAAGTTCCTACAATGCCCCTCCGGAGGCAATTGCCCTAAATGCCCTCTTCGTGCTGCGTATTCGGGCGTCATCTTTGTGGCAGTGACAGGAAACTCATAAATGAGGGAGTTTAGGGGTCTTCCAGTAATATTTACATATGGTGTTATCAAGAAATTAGATAATATACTCCTAAATAGAGGTGTTATTTGAGAATTATAATAACAGCAATGTATCAAAATGACTGAGATAAATTTTGCTTTTTCATTATGCAATCTTTTCCGTACTATAACACCCAATACTTGTGGGACCCCTGAACTACTCAACTATGAGTTTCTTTCTCACTGCCACAATGACGACGCGCAAATACGCAGCACATGTGAAGAGAAGAGGGGCATTTAGGACAATTGCCTCCGGAGGGGCATTGTAGGAACCTTGTCTCCGCAGAGGGGGCATCGGAGGAAATTACTCGCCCCGCCCTCCCAGCATTTGCAGTGGTGTCGCTGCACTCCACCGTGAACCACGGGGACCGGGGGACCGATTGGCTCTCACGCGCACGGACCACCCGACTCCCAGTCCCGTCTCTTACGTCCTCCTGACTCTCTTTCCTCGTCATTACCTTGTCGTCGTACTCCATCAGCGTCATCTTCCTCGATTTCATCACCTTCATTCTCTTACCCCAAGTGCCAAACAACACTCAACGACGAACACCCCCACACCCTCTCTCCCATTCGCTCACAATCGCAATCGCAATCGCGATTGATCCCAGGGCCCGGCAGTTGCCGTCCGGGGGCCGTTAGGGACCTCCCCACCTTGGGTAAGCCAGCAGGTGTTTCCCGGAGCTGGGAGGCCGTTATGCCGACATGAGGATATGCCGGGCGTTGATGTTGCTGTACGTGATTGACAGCGATCCTGAGGGTGTGGGCGCGTGGGCTGCAGGGCCGCACGCCAGCCAGGAGACCTCTCCATTGATCACGTGTCGGCCTGGTGGAGCAAGTGGGGGATGACTCCTTCCCATCCCTTGGTACACAAAGGCGATTCCAGCTTGGGTAAGGACATGGAAGACAGCAGCCGTGCGCTAGTCGTGTGCACTGCTGTAAAAATCGTCATTCGTTTCTATTCGCTACATGATCTCACTCCCAACCCCACTCCCACAAGCACAGGCTAGAACGGCAGCGTCCCCGTCGTGCTCCTGATCAGGTCAACGATGCACGTGCCCTCGATAGGCACATACTGCCGCGTGAGGAACTTGATCGCTTCCTGTGCAACGAGCCCTCCTGTGAGCGCAGCGGTCGTCGGGATATCCGAGCCTTGTGCTCTAGCGCTGGGAAATCGTTATATTGTTAGATAGTTCTAGGGTGAGTGCCAAGGATGGAGCGTACATCTCGCCCAAGGCAGTGGTGACCGTCTCCGGGAGCTCGCCGTTCCACCCTCCGTTCGCTAGGCGCTGGGTAGCATAGGTTGTCAGAAGTTGGTTGTCTGCTTCTGTAGGCTGGGGCTGGCGGGCATGCGCGCTGTAGAAGTCTGCCGAGCAGAGGAAGGCGAGGTATACCGCTGCCGGGGCGGGGAGCATGCCTGATTCGAGCTCGTTCTGGAGAGCAGTCACTGGCTTCTGGTCAGATGCCTCTTGTGTATAGAGTAGAGGGTTAACGGACCAATCTCAGAAGGCTCGACGGAACCCCATTTCTTGCCCTTGAACACCCGTACGCCAGCTGCATTCCTGATGAACTCCTTTACCTCCGCCCTGCCCAGTCCTAGACTCTCCCTCTCTTCCCAGGTCTCGTGCACTTCCTCTACGGCCCGTTTCAGACAGTCTTCGAATACGAGCATCTCACGGTCTGCTTGTGCGCGGAAGAGGTTTTGGAGCTCCACGTACGTGTCGGTCGTCGTGTGCATGTCGGGTAGGGTGGGGACAAGAGGGAGGTAGGAATGTTGTTGGACGAAATGAGAAAGCGCGAGAAGGAAGTAGAAGATCGAGGGCGACTGCGGACGTGTCAGGTAAAGCAGATATGATCGTTGAGAGGACTCACAGAGGAGGTAATGGTAGTCACAGACGGGTCGGATAACAGAGCGCGAGTCTCGCTAGGCACCACGGTGGGCGTCCACATCCTATACGCCTGTGCAACAGCTTCGTCAAAGTTCTCCTCATCACCTCGCCTCCGCATCTTCTCCAGGCTCTTCTTCAGCTCCTGCTTCTCAGCATAGCTTTTGGGCAGTTGGCCGTCGTGCTGTCATCGGGTCAATTAGATCCTTCAGATCCTAGCCAATACTTCAAAGCGTACCTTTTGCTTCCAGTTCTCTAACGCCTTTACTAGCAGCACAACCCATGGAACATGGCCAAAGTCGGTGCTGTCTAATGAGTCTAAGTCGATGGCGCGAGCGTATTCGAGCAGTGCAGGGAAGGCGTTGTCCAGTCGTAAGCTGGGCGGTGTCTCCGAGTGAGCATCAACAACTAGACATGCTCAGCATAACATGCAACACCACCGGACTGTCACAACCCACCTGTGTGCTCCCCGATCTGGGTTCCGATCATCGCGTAGAATCCAGCGGTTCGGACGATCATCAGTGGCACAGTGTCCCTTGGTGTTGAGGCGCCACTACGCAGCGCTTGAGCAAGTCGATCTTCTATTTCGGGACTGAGGTTAACAGCAATAATAAGAGTGAAAGACAGGAAGAATTCTGGCTCGTTTTCGAGGACGGCGTTAACGTCCTGAACAGAGAATGATCAGCGGTGACTCGAAAATGTACTAGATGGACGCGTACCCTAGTATCGGCCTTGCCCTTCACGCTATCATTCAGCTCTGCGAGATGGCTCACCGCCTCTTCCGCTCTACTCTTGCCAATCCCATTGACGTGCAGGAAGAAATTGTTCCCAGCATCCGCGTAGGTCACGGGGAGGTGGTCGAGGATCGTGAACTCGCCAATTCCGGGTAGCACCAGGTTCTTCAGAGTGGAAGTCGAGGTTGCTCCTCCAGAGATCACGAGAATACGCGCTGACTCCAGTGCGGCTTGACCAGAAGAAGCCCATAGTCTACGTAGTATGAGATATGGAGGCTACGGCTGACAAACACTTGACCCACCGTAGTTGACGGTCGTACCGCCGCGTCTTCTCATCTGGCCGTCCTTGTCTACACCACGTTGCTCAGATATAACCCCTCTTATACAGATATCAGATGCGTACGGTGATACAATGGTAACAGTGGCTTCTTCTATAGTCTTTGCTTCTGCTGTCTGTGCCATTGTGGACGGGGCTGGCAGGTTGTGTGGGCGCGACCCTGACTGGAAAGTGCCGCTGTCGCACGTAATGCGCGCGGAGGAATGTTAGTCACACACCTGTTATCATTCCCCTCACTCTTCACACTCAATCAAGTCAACAAGAACATCTGCTACTGATGTTTTTATATGTCTTCACCACGTAATGGACCTAGCTTTATCACCCTCATGGCAGGCTTGGAGGCTCGTCACTTGGCCCGTCTGCCAACAAAACTTCGGTCCTTCTCTCGGACCGTCTATTTCGGCGCATCCTTAATCAGATGTTTCGTATTTCAATTTGCGGGTTGATGACAATTTTTTGCTTCGATAATGGAACGGAGACTTCGACGTTCTCTAGACTCCCATCGTGCATCTGTCTAGCGTTATCCTACTCCTCTGACGATGTCCAACCAAGAACCCCCCTCCCTGTGGGACCGTGCATGCGTATATGTTCAAGTCAAGCTTCTTCGCTGGGCTATATGGTTTGGGAACCTGGGGAAGCCAACCACACCAGCACCATTTCCACCGTCTCGTCAGGCTTTCATTCGTTCGTCCGATGGCAAGCGGCGCATCAAGTTGCTCTTCTTCGATCCGCCCAATTCCAATCCCGGTCCGAAGCCAGTCTACATCAACTTTCACGGCTCTGGTTTCATCCAGCCTTCACTTGGCATAGATGGACGCATGCTCACATACATTGCGCGTGAAGTCGGCTGTATTGTCATCGACGGCGACTATCGCAAGGCACCGGAGCATCCGTTTCCCGCAGCATACGATGACGCCTATCGCATGGTCTCCTGGATGTTGGAGAATGCCGATCGCCTGTTCGACGTCGATCGGGTGGCTGTTGGTGGTGTGTCGGCTGGGGGAAGCCTCGCTCTAGCAGTGACGGCCAACATGCCACCGAACACGATTAAAGGCGTGTCAGTCATCGTACCAGCGACCGATTTCTCCATAACCTACGCGGAGCGCCGAGCTCCACCGGACATGCCACCAGAGCATAGGGGCGAACTCGACCGATCGGGCCCCATCCCTCTCGCCATTGGGAGATGATGCGCTCAGCCTACCTCGGCAAGTACATGAATACCAAGGATGCACGGCTCAGCCCGAAATTCGGAGACATCACGCGATTTCCTGGCGGACAAACCGTGTTCATCGCTTCCGCGGAATATGATTATCTGGATGCGGAAGCCCAAGAATTCAGGGATTTGTTAGTCAAGTCCGGGAAGGAACCTCTCTATATGCATGTGGAGGGCATGGGTCATGGCTATGTGATGACCGACAAGAGCGACACTGCGGCTGCGAAGAAGAGAGACGAGACCTTTGCTATGGCTGCAGAGGCTCTTAAACGAGCCTTTGGTTTGTAATTCGCTACTTCAAGAACGCCGGAAAGTATTGTGAAATAACAGCATACTTATTAGGGCACCGTTGTCACAAACATAGGTCGAGTGGTCAATATCACGAGCTTGGGCATGTGCTCCCCAAGGTTCTTGTCTTCTGTTCGTTCCCTTTGTGATTTCATCGCCACTGTTGTTATCGATGCACGACCATATGCACCACGACGCCTAAAGGTGTACCAGGCCCCCCTCCCTTGGCGCGATGAAGGGGCCCCAGTTTTGAGGAAACGCCAGAATTGTTCGTGTTTCTAACTATGATAGTCCTGACTCCGTCTCGTCAACATCAAACTGCCCATATACTAAGTGTCCTCTGAGCACAACGCCGCTCCACTCTATACCGCCGCGCTACCGCTAGTACCGGCGGCCCTTTGGCCCTGTCTCTCCCTCGGCTCTTCTATGCCTTTTTGGTCTCGGGAGCCTCGGTGTACGCCTGCGGGCGGCTTCTTTATTCAGACGCACTGTGGACGCGGTCACTCGGGCCGGATCGCATGGAAGACAAGTAGCGTACCATTGGTATTCGACCGTCGACTGGCCAGCAGTCTCAACAATCCCTGTCCGGGAGGCTGCGATTCGCCCCTTCGACGTCAGGTGGACATGCACCCATAATGCACGTCATTACTAGTCCGGCCTAAACCGTATAAGCGAGGCCGAGAATTTGTAACCCCTGACTACGCGTACCTCTGTTGAAAATGTTGGAGGTGTTGTAACTGGTAAACATCGAATGCCTGCGAGCAACGAAAGCAGAACAATCGAAAACAACATGATTGATGCCCTTGGAGTTGATTGGGAGGTGTTGTTTGTTTACCCTCTTCCTTGACCGTTTGACGCCCTGTTCACCTCTTTATACAGTCCGACATACGAGCAGGGTCACTAGTCCTTGTGATTTCAATGTTCTTCAGGGCGAACATTGCCTTGTCCGACATGGCCGGCCGGCGCCTGGCACGAGGCTAGACCAACGTTTTCTTCGCCCGAGGAGTGATCGCAGGCCGGCGAGTATCACAGTCAAGCAATATGAAATTTGGAGCCGAACGACGTCGCCCAGCATTATGGCTTGCAGAACGCAGTCTTTTCACATGATTTCACAGCAGTGATCCGACATCAGGTGGGAATGCAGGATGCTGACTCTGGATTGGTCTTTGTCCCACAGTTTTTCCGGCTGGGTCACAAGTTCCACCTAGAAGAATTTGCCCCACCTGGGCTATAAAGATAGGCACAAGAGCTGGACGAGTTCCGAGAGGGCATGTAAACATATGAGTTAATACATTTCTTTCTCCTGAATAGACTCCCATTAATCGAGCAAGGCGATGTACAGTAATTGAAGGTCGATATCGACCCGGCTTCGCGTGATGGCTGCTTTCAAATCTGCGCTCAATCGCTTGAGGTATGTTGTGGCCGAAAGCACCCACCTCGCACAGCAGACATAATGTGAGACAGTAACCTGCATGTCCTGGTGTCGCCAACGGTGCTTAGGGAGTCCCTTGGCTGTCTGGTGGACAAGCGCCGAAAACGCATGGACCTCGCACATCCTTTAAATGACAGCGTGTTGGTGAGCAGACTCAACTCGTCATTGAACTGCACTTACTAAAGCAGGTGCAGGGATGGGCATAGCAGCTGTGCCGGAGGAAAGCAGGAGGAGGAGGACAACTGCTAAGGCGATAAGTGCGATAGGTGTGCAAAGCGGGCGAGTCTCCATTGTGCCGAGGTTGCTTCGAAATGGATCGTAGCGTATGTCTTCATCTCGTGCTTTAAATATTCCACTGTTTGCTGGGCAGTCATCGGAAATTCAAAGGATGGTCCGTGCTAATAAACCCACGGCAAAGCACCGCTGCACCATATGTAAACGGACCTTGGCGGAAATTTGCCAGTAGACTCTCGTAAGCGACCGTCGTGCGAACGTGGCTTGTCGGAATAGCACTCGGAATAGTCACTGAAGAGTGGTTGTGGTCTGAGCTCGGAGTATTCGGCTTCCTATCGTGGACAGAAACGACACCATTCCGGCAGGGGGCTGGATGATCCCCGATCAGCTTGGTCATCCGCCCAAGCTTGGGAAAGCTAACCCCAGCTACATTGAAGCATGTCAATGGAAGCTTTCTTTTCGGATCATTGCAGTCACCGAGAAAGCAATATGTCTTGTATGATTCGTTCCAATGCCGTTGTTTAGCCGACCACACAGTAGTTGGACACATGGTTCAGCGCTCCGTTCCTCCTCGGCAAAAACACTGAACACAAATGCTGATGTTGCTCAAATGTCAGGAACACAGAAGAGAAGCGGTCGTACGATGATCTCCTTGGATCAGATAGCTGGATCTCGGCTTGCTCCGGATTTAGTCATAGTATATGACGAGGGGCGAACGGGAATCAAAAGACGAGACCAATGCCGTTAGAGCCCAAGCATCCGTTGGTTCGGTGTTGCCAGTTATTGAGAGGGACCGCATCCAAGTTTATCGGCCGCCGCGATGACCCTAGATGTGTACAATGTGCACTGCCGGAAATCGTGCTCAGAAATAGCAAGTTGCCAGAAGCATCCCAACGGCCGTGGAAGCTGGCCATGGAGCTTCTGCGGGATTCTCATTCTCAAAGGACGTCTGAATAGCAATGCCGCGGCTGACCCAAAGCTAACGGGGCCTGCATCGGGCTCACCTTTCTCCTGGTCGCATCGCAGGTGAGCGCTTCAGCAAAAGATGGGATTTGCCGGTAGTCAAGGACCCATAATTCGCCTATATTCTGACTTTATACGTCACTGTGCTTTCAAGAATATGTCAGCACGGTCGGGCCACCTGCGGAAAGGAGTGGAGCCCGTACAAGGAGGAAGAGTTCTCATCTACGTTTCACAGGCACCGATGACACCGACCGGCCGTAGCACGCGGACAGAAGTTCGGAGACAGCCGAAAGTAGTTTTGAAATAGTCATTGGTAGGCAGAGTTTGGCGCTGGAGGGCCGGAGCAACGATTCGGCCCGTCTAACAGCGCGAACCAGAGCCGGCGGCCTGACTGAGGTCTTACCTATATGACGGATAATCTGTCGGGCTCTTGTTGTTGCCGGAATAAGATGCTGAGAGACTTCCGAGAAGCTCGGTATCCTTCAGATACAGTGACACAGTTGTTTAGGGGGATGAGACGCAGCTTAGAAACAGGTTGCGAATGAGGTGGCACCCAAACCCTAACCTGCACGACGCCGATCAGCCAGTCTTGTGGAGTTGATTTTCACGAGGAAGGAATTAGTGGCGATGCACTACCAAATTTGGTCACCTAAGTTTTGGCAGTGTTCAGGGTCATCTTCTGTCACTGTGCCGTGTACTAACCCCTCTCGCGCTGGGAAAAGAGAGGCAATCCACATGGCGCCAAAACGGCAGCACGACGTCTCCGATCCAGAAGGACGACAAAATAAAAGGATAAAGACAAATGCCGGTGCCGCAGTTCCCGGAGCTGTGTCAGTCAACACACCAACGTTCGTGAACGCACGAGGAATCAGTGCCGCCTTGCACATTTACAACACATCACAATTGGCAATAAGTGCGGTGTGTGCTCGCCGAGTCTGTACATGGTCTAATCAAATCTGGCAGACCTAAATGGGTTGCGGACGTTTGCTGCCCCGGGCGCTTGGAGTGATAGTATCGCCGAGGACAGAGTGAGGTTGCTCGTGGACTGGATAGAAGGGCCTGGCATACAAGACGTAGAGAGAGTACTTGATTCGACCAAAGTGAGTTACTTTGTGTCCTACGACTTATATGACTAACATTACTAGAATCTCTTCTCCGTGCTCACTCCACTGTTCTCTTTCCTCGGACATGTTGTGCGTGCTCTCCGGACACGCCCCGACGCTGTGGGTGGGGTCATTGCATTTGGAAACGCCCTTCTTTCGGACCGTCACGCCGAGAGATTGAATCGGGCAGTACGACAGGATGATGCATCGCTTGTTTTATCATGTCTGAAGTTGTGGCTTGAGCTGGCTTCGGTAGACGCGCTGCAGGAACGGGTCGCTGCCACGTGGAATTGGGGCGGGAAGGTACAGGTTCCATGGTCCAGCTCCGTTTTCTACTCACGCGAGATGATAGGCTGGCACAAAACTTCTATCTATGCGTAGAAAGGGCAACATGAATCCGACGGACGATCCAATACGCCACCCGGACATCCGAACGTCATACATCCTCTTCCTGCTCTCTTTCCTAACCCCTTCCACGCCATCGTCATTGAAACAATCCTTCCTTTCTCAGAAGGACACATTTACGGCCATATTTAGGGATCTAAGACGAGACCACACGGCTATCATTCGTAAGGTTCTTGAGGTCTCGTGGGGAGGAATCTGGGAAGACAGGAGGGTGCGAAGAACGGCCAAGATAAGCGTATTCAACGAGTGGCTGCTTAATCAGGTATATGCCCTGTCGTGGATGATAAGCCATATAAGTTTGACCTGACTTTAGATTCTCCGTCTATACGAACGAGGCGACAATGATGACCCGTCACAGCCTTTTTCGCCGGCTGATCTCGCCCATCATTTCCTTCTGGCTATTTGTACCCGACCAGGAGTTGGTGTGTGTTTTCCCGACAATGGTTGGTACCCCCGAGAGAGTGAATTTGGGGAAGAAAACGAGGTCGCAATAGACGATGGGGACATTGAAGCCGGCCAAGGACACAGCTCCCGCAAGGCACGCCTTTACAACATCATCCTTGCCAACTTTATCAAGGTTTTGAAAGTCGGAGAAGACGCGCGGCAACAGGAGCTTGCTCTGAAGATCCTTGAAGCATGTCCGGAGCTCGTTGCGGCGTATTGGCCGGCAGCCAACATCTCGTTGGAACCTCGTCTCTCTTCCCGCTGGATAATTAATGCTGCATTCGTCGGTCGCGTTATCTCCCTCCCCGTACCTCTAGGCTGTTTCCGACTTTCATCATCGTCTCTTTCATCGGACGCAGACGAGAGATCATATCGACCGGATCCTCCTCCACTTCCGACTTTGTTTGCCAATGCGTTCCCGTCCCTCCTGAACCGCACACATCTCACGAAAGGACTGCAAGCCAAACAAGGTCTCGTTCAGCTGCTCACTGCGCAAACGCTCACCCGATGTTTTGAGAAACTTGAACGAACATGCAGTGAAATGCTGAAGATTGCCGAAGTATTGGGCGAAACTCCGGATGAAGGGCAATGGCGAACCCGGCGGATGGAACTGCAAAGCGAGGCACGTCGTCGCGTTCCAGATTTCTCCGTTATCATCGCATTCTCCCAGCAGAAGATAGAAGGGGATGGGGAAGCGGCAGAAAAGAAAAGGGCTATGCTGAAGGAAGTGGCACTTCGACTTTTGTGGTGCTATCAGCGAAGTTTGCCAGACCTCGTGGCCGAGTTTCGATTCGATGCAGGCAAGCTGTTCACTCCTCGATACTGCGAGTCCTTCCAAGGTGTACCCAGCGAAGATCAAGAACATATCAACCAGCTTTCTGAGCTATGTCAGCTTCACGCGTTGCGGTTGCTTCGGACGAGCGAGCAATTTAACTGGTCAGCGAAGCCCAGCGGATTTCCTCATAGCTTCTTGTACTACTTTTTGTTGATCCGAGCCAAAACACGTCACACGGCCCTCAAATGTGCATCCGAAGAGCTGGTGCAGCACCTGCTCGGTACCAGCTTGCTGTTCGAGCATGATCCCAATGAGCTGCAAGTTTGGCTCGAAGCTTTACCCACTTCCATCAGGGATGGCACCGTAGAAGACTTGGATGGTGCTCCTCTGACCGACGAAGCGCACGGGGTTATTTCCGTGTTAGACGACTCTGTTCAACGCTGTCTGAAGACGCCGTATCGTTATGTGGAAGAACTCGGTGCTCTTTTGACAACAGAAGACGATGCCGGTATCCCATTGTCTGCTCGAGCACCTTCATTGCCTAGCCCATTGTTCATGACTCTGCTGGAACAACTGAAGGCCAAACACAGGGTAGGCACGCTATCCTTCTCCGACACGATTGCGTTATTGGCTTTTATTCGAAGATTGATTACCGGTTTGGTCGGCAAGCAGCAAAGCCTCAAGAGTGCTTCCTTATTGACGACGCGCCTTTCGGAAATTGTCAATTCTTTCGATGAAAATCATGTCACCCAATCTGTCACAACCAGTCCCCGGAAACAGGATTATCTTATTAGAGAGGTCTCATTACTGTCTGACAGTCTCGAACTGGTCTCCGGTGGAATCCTGCATACCTCCACGCCTCCGCCAACTCCTGTATCTTTTGTGCAGGAAATCACTGAGGCGCCCGTGTCCGACGACCCTGAGAGCAACCGCCGCGTCGTCAGCCGTCTCGTGGATAAATTCCGTCTCCGGTCATCCCCATTGCCAGGTTCTCAGTTGAAGGATCTCGTTCAAGCGGTCTTAGACAAGTCTCCCGACGGAAGCCAACTACGCGAGCTGCTGCTTTTGCTCAGTCCCAAACATGAAAATCTCTGGAGTATATTTTCGGTGAAGGAAGCTGGCGACATTCTGGAACATGCCGGGTACGATTTTTCTTTTCTTTTTAACCGGCACATAACAGCACTAAAACACTCTAGATCAATTTTCTTCGTCGGTTATCTGCATGCGGCAATATCCAATCTGGAATCCCCTGAGATCATTGATACTCTGGCTCGACTCGCGGAGCCCTTGCTCCAAGCACCATATCAGGCAACACTATTGTTGAACTGTCTGCTGGGACGGCTATCAGCTGTTCGGAAGCGCCCAGACTGTGGTTCAAAGGACGAACATGCTTGCCTTCACCTTCTCAGCGCAGTTTTACAGCTCCCTCTATCTCCCAAGATCAAGCAGAGATTCAAAGAGACATTATTTTCGGAGAGTCAGATCATGAAGGAGATATTTTCTACCCCAGAAGGCTTCACGAAGGGTTCGTTCGACGTTTGCGCCAAAGTGTTCTCTTCTCATGATTAACTATAGTGCTTACTCCAATTGTCAAAGTGTACCTCAATGCGACTTCGGATGACGATCGTCGGCTGGCCGCTCCATATTGTGAAGCATGTCTTCACATGAATGTGCCCCAGTTAGCAAGATCCAAAGACTGGGTATCGTGCTGGATTCCGTACTTGACTTCGCAACAGTCAGCTCCTCTTGCCGAAAGACTGATAGTGGCAATGGCAATAGAACCTGACGTTGCTGATTTACTGGTCGTGGTTCTTGCGACTCTCGCTTTGAACGCCAGCGATGATATTCGGCCCATTCTGAAGATAATAGTTCTGGTGATCCAGCAGGATGAAATCTTCCGAAATGAAAACGCTTTGCTGGCTCTGAAGAATCTGTGCCAACTCACCCTGCCCCTGTACATAGAGAGCTCTTCTTTTTCCCCGGACACGCACGTGAAAGGACGGGCCGCCATCGCCGTTCAGCAATTTCGGCACGTGGTTCAATGCTCCGATGAACCTGTCACGATCTCAGCTAACTCGATGAAACCGGATGCAAGGATCTCTCTGGCATTGGCATCGCTCACATATCGAACTGCTTCAATCAGGCAACAGTTAGCGCAATGCATCGAAGAGAGCGGCTCAGTGATTCCTTGGGCGGACACTGTGTCACTCGTCCAGAATTTGCTCGAGGCAGAAATTTTATTGCCACTAGAGAAACGGCAATTGAAATCCCTTTCCGCTGCAAAGAGTTTCATAAGGAAGCTTCTAAACAGTATTTTGCTCTCGGTGGAAGATGCTCAACTGATGGAGTCCTGCGAGCAAGCGCTGCGTTCGTATGTGCTACTTGCTGGTGTTCCTGAGGTTGCTGCCCAAATCACTCTTACAATTCCCTCGACATCGCCCATGCCATTTAATCGGCACTCGCTCCGCTTCATCAACTGGATGGTATCTCGGGACGACGACGCGGAGATGCGGAATTGCCTGATCGCGTTCGCTGACAGCGTGCTTCGTTGGCTCGTCAGAAGATTTTCAGAAGACGAGAGTGATTCCCTCGATTTGTTGAAGGGATTAGTACCTTTCGGTATGTATTTCCACCCTCTGCAGTTGCAAGTCTGAAATATCTCCCTCTGTAGGCAAGATCATGCGAAAGAACGGCTCGCTGAAGAGGCATTTGGTAGAGCCTGTGCTCACCTCCATCATTCGCTCCCGATTTACGGTCGTTGAGCCGGTCGAGTTTGCCTGTGTGCTCTGTGAGATGGTGGACTTACCGGTAGGCTTCCTTGCGCTATCAAAGGATGCTCTCTGACAGTCGCTGCAGAGCGATGTATCGATGCGTTATCTCCAGTCAGTCTTGCAGCAACCCCAGTTGAGGCAAGCTTCCGCCGCATCGAACCCCCGCCTCCACTGTGCCCTTGTACGACTCGTCCACACATTGTGTCTTGTTCATCCACAAACCGCCTGTCAACCTGCACAGTTGCGACAAGTGCTGACGTTGTATGGCGGAAGTTTGTCCATTGCAGACAGGAGAATTGTGAATCTCCTCCGGATGTTTGAGAAACAGCGCTCGGCCACCGCCCTGTCATTACTCGCTACTGGTCTGCATGGCGCATCTTCGACTCGAGTCATCGATCTTTTGTGTTCCTTAGATGCCGCTCGAATACTCAAGACATGTGTGGAATTCCCCCAATGGCGCGAGTTCAATACCGAAGTGGACACTGTACCGGAGACGGATCAATCCGATCTCTATGACCCGGTATATGTTTTCGGACTTTTCAGCGCTGTTGTCAGCCAGGAAAGCCTCAAAGGTCTGGAATGGGTACGCATCGGCCGCACAAATGTCATGAGCCTGGCAATCTGTGCTCTCGCCTCGAAACAAGCGAGGATGCGAAAGGTGGCAGCGACTCTCATCGGCGCCACCTGGACGGCAATCCAATCCACCGAATTTATCGAGCGCGATCAGCTGTCCTACACTCTCCAGCTGGTTCGTAACGTTCTTGCCTCGGAAACCGACCCAGAACGACTGCCAACCTTCACCGTTCTGCTCGCCGCATACGCCGTACATTCCCTTTTCCACCCAGCGGTACTCGTCTACCCTCACATTGCGCATTTCCTACTCCAGCGCCCAGCGTTAGACCCGACAGACGTACCGATGTTATACAACATGCTCTACCCAACCTCTGACGACTGGCGACGCGAGCGACTCTGGATGCTGCGTTTCCTCAGCCAAGGGATGCGAAGTGCCGCTGACTGGCACGCGTTCCGCCGCCGTCGAGCCTGGGACCTGCTCGCAACACTCTTCAGCTCCGAGCCGGAGGACAGAGCTGTCCGGCCAGCGATATTCGAAGTCCTAGGCAGCTTGACCAGGAGCAGGTACGCCACGCATGCGCTGGTACTCCGTTCTTCTCTCCTGGCGTGGATCGAGCTCCAGCTGTTCACTCCCAAGCCGGGGGAATGTCTCCCCTGGCTTCGCGTACTCGAGAACATATGCATGGTCGTCAACCCCGTAAAAATGGAGACAGACACGTACGGTTCCTGGCGCGCGGACATCACCCGGTGTGTAGGGAAGGTGCTGCGTGCTGTGCCGGTAGAAAAGGGGGCGCTCAGGGCGCTCGAGTTGGGGGGGAGGGTCATCCTCCGTCTGGCGCTGTTACAGGGGGAACAATACTGGCCGATCAGGGAGGTGCTTGACCAGTGTGTGACCCTCCTAACGGAAGTGGAGAGGTACTTGGGGGACACGCCCGTGCCTGGGCCGTATGTTGAGGAACAGTCGGCGCAGTATCATTGTTCTATCACTCCTGGCGAGGTGCCCCTTTCTGCAGAAGAGGCAGGCGAGCGCTGGGCGGTATGCGTACGCCAGCTGTGGAGGGTCGGGATGTCCCTTCCCCTCGATGCAGAACCCCAGGAGGGAAGAGAAAGATACAGGTGGTGGATGGAGCTCACACCGCGCTTAATTTCCCTCGGCTCTGCAGGGGGAGAGGAAGCTGAATGGGCACGAGAGGAGGTGCTGAGGGATATCGTCCTCCGGTCGGTGGAACTTGAGGATACCTGATATTAGATACCTTTCTGGCATACGTAGACTACAATGACGATGTATTGAGTTGAGCGTTGCATTTTCCCCATCCCACTGCGTCCCATCCAGCGCGCCCCGTGCAGTGAACGCACTCTACTCCCCATGCTCCCCTCTCCTCGCGCTGCGGGCCTTACACTCCCCTGCTCTAGCAGGCTCGAGCGCCGTCTTCCCCTCTCCTCCCGGGGCGTCCTCCTTCCCCAACACCCTCATCAGCCCCGCCTTCATCCCCTCATACACGCTCGTATGCGGCGCCGGGTCAATACTCTCGATCCTATGCAGCTCGACCTTTCCCGATCGGGGAGAAAACACATAGCAGAAGCACAAGTCCCACTCGCTCCTCTGGCCCGTGACGCGCCCGAAGCCGCTCACGTTGAGCAGGACTCTGGCAGCCCGTTCCCGCCGGCTTTGGGAGGAGACGTACATCCTCCTGAGGTCGACTGTGAGATCTGTATGCAGGGCGGACATCCCTGCGCGCACGAGGGCGGCGGAGGCGGTGTACATCCCCAGACCTTGGAGGTGGAGCGTGTGCGGGAAGGGGGAGGGAGGGGGGAGGGGAGGGGTGTAGGTTAGCCGGATGTGGGGGGAGTAGACTGGGGTGGGGCTGGCGTTGGGGGAGGGGGAGAGAGAGGAGCTGCTGGAACTGGGATTGGGGTTGGCGGTGGAGTTGGAGTTGGAGGGAATGGGCGGGGGGAGGTCGACGAATGGGAGTGGAGTGACTTGGAGGCCGGTCTCGAAGAATGTGGGCAGCGTCGTTCGAAGATGATGGATGGCGTTCCCTGCACCCACCGCATACAACCACATCCATAAACATAACATAACCACCACAACCACAACCAACAGAACGCCCATCAGACGCAGCAGCACAGACCGGAACCCGTCAGCCTCTTTCACATCAAAAGAAGAAGAAGCGTACCGACTCTCAAGTCCCACTCCCGATCACTCAGTTCCTCCTCTTTCTCTCCTTCCTCATGTGGTTCTCTCCCCGGTCCAGGGGGGGCGTCCAAGGGGGGTTCGACGGGCGGGGAGGAGAGCAGTTTTGAGGGTAGGGGGGAGGAGGAGGAGAGCGGTGGGGAGACGTGGTGGTAGGAAGAGGCGACCAGATAGGAGGAAGATGAGGAAGGCGAGTAGGAAGGATGTAGTGAGGAGGGAGGATGAGGCTTAGAGGTCGACAGGGAGAGGAAACGAGCGTAGCCTGCGTAGGTGCAGCCCGCGTTCGTCCTACACGTTCTTCGTGTAAGTGGGCCTGGAGTGAGCTTAGCGCGTAAGATGGCTCTGCAGCTGGCTGATGTTGTCATCCTATCCTCTCAACGGCGAGCAACGAGCAACGAGCAGAGAGCAGCAACAGTGCGTGCAATGGTGTTGAGCAGGCTACATGGACACTATGCACGTTCGCAGTGTTTTCCCTTCTCATTCAAGGGTTCTCTTCATGCCGATCACACACCTCATCCGCGACATTTCCCAACCTTGGCACCCAAGCATCTTACTTGTTTACTCTTACATGCACCTCAACTCACTTAGGCACAGCGGGCATCAACAACATCAAATATAACAAGTTTATCCAAAACACCAAAAGCTCTACCTTTCACACTTCAAACATAGTCAAGGACAGGAAGGCGCTTTTGGGCTAATGGACCCGATGGATAGGGGGGAGAGGGTAGGGGACGATCCGCCAGGGAAGAAGAGTTCACTCCTTTGGAGGTTCGAAAATGCGTGCAATGCAAATGCAGGCGGAATGCTATGCTTGTAAATGAACTGATAGGATAGGATTCGATAGGACAGGGGGAGGGTCAAGAAAAAAGCGTAAACGCTTCCAGGGTATCGAGCGACTCGCGCTGGTTGGATGAGAACATGAGGAAGAAGATGCAAAACACCATGCTGAGAAAGAGACAGGAAGACACTTAGTCATCATTCTCGTCGTCCTCGCATTCATCATCGCCGTCGTCCGTCGGTGTAGGGGCAGCGGAGGAGCTGGTAGGGGTGGATGAAGTGCTGGAGCTGGAGCTGGGCGTAGGCGCTGGGTTGGCCGTCACGCCCGGGCTGCTGGTAGGTGCGCCGGCGACGTTGCCCGCAGGAATGGCACTGCTGAGGGGGCCGATGGAGCTGGTTAGTTGACCCCCGGGTACGGGAGCACCGATCGAGGGAGCGTTGAGGCCTCCATTCTGGGTGAACGCGGCAGGGAGAGTGAACAGCTGGTTGCCGACGCAAAGGACCTCGCCGACGTAAATGTTATCGCAAGCCGAGTCAATCTGGGGGTTGTTGAGGAACAAGAGGGTGCTGTTGATCGCGAACTGGTTGGTGATCGCGTCGCACGAATCACCCCCAGCGACAGTGTACGTCGTCGTGCAGTCCGAGCCGTCCGTAAGGCCGAGGCAGAGCGGCTGCCCGATCTGGAGGTTGGAGCAGGCATCGTCGATCGTCGGGTTGAGCATCGCCAGCTGGTAGGTGGAGGCGCCGACCGCGCGGGAGATCCCATCGCACGTGTCCCCGGCAACGATGGTGTAGTTCCGCGAGCAGCTGAAGGTGGTGGTCGCGGCGAGCGCGGCTGCGAGCAGGGTAAGCATGAGTGCTGAAAAAGAAAAAAGGGAAATAGGGGCGCGTACAGGAAGCAAGAAGGACGGCAGCGAAGAACATTGTTATAATTGAACGAGGATATAATGAACGAGTGTGAATGCGTGGAACGCTGTTCGTTTAAATTGGTTGGTTTGAGGGGGTTGGCAAATACTATGAGCAAGATGGGGAAGTCGAGGAGAAGGTCGAGGGAGACAAGGAGGAGGAGGAACGTTGAACGTAGGAGGACGTAGAAGAGAGGCAACTGACTGAGGAAAAGAGAAAGGGAAAAGGGGGAAACGGGATCGCCTTGCATGGAAGGAGAATCCCTCTTCTGTAACCCTCACGGAGCTAGTTACGGATGCAATTAAGTGCTGCGTCACAACAGAGCCCCTCGCAACGGGCGGGCTTCTCGGCAGGCTGGGTAATGATATGCCCCGCAAACTCGTATCAGCATTTGGATAAAACATGTAATTAATCATATGCATGCTTCATCCCTCTGTTCTCTCTGTGTCAGACCGCACTCGTACTCAAGGGGGAGAAGAATCTATACCCTGCACGGCATCCGCCAGCAGCGCGCAGCAAGCATACTATAGCGAGTGTAATAATAGCACCCCAGCACATGGGTCTCATAGCCTAGCAACCCCTTCGAACAACGTCAACCCGAAAAGCACGGACTTTTTAATTTCCTGGGAAACCGCTCAACCGCTTCTGTGTTTGCACATGGTGGCTGTGCACATTCAGGGGTCTGTGGGAATCGCTTCCGGAAGCATGGGCCAGACATGGGGCACGTGATCGGTGGGAGACGCGTTGGGTTCATTACATTGCGTCCGATTCATTACACTTCATCTCTTCTGCACCGTACCTCTTCTACCTTTTACACACTATCTCCCACACATTAGAAGCAATCTATAGGAAGGAGACATTAACAAGGATGGACGACTCGGACGCTGCGTTCCTTCTCTCTCTGATGGATAGCATGTCTGCTATCCCCTCTTCCTCCCAGTCGCATCGGTCTGCCCACCGTCCGACTTCTGGACCACCTTCCAGCTCCTCTGGCTCAGCGCAAAGACGGACAAAAGTGAAAGGTGCGAAGGATAAGAAACGGCCTGCTCGGGCGGGAGCGTTGAGGGACGTCACGAACTCCCATACGAACTCGCTTTCCCATTCCCAGACGAGGAAGAAGCCCAGATCAGAAGCTCAAACTCCGATCTGTGCCAGTTCAGAGCAGGAAGATGCACTGGAGGGGATGATACTTGACGAAGGATTTTTTGACTGGAGGCCCTCCCCCGAGAGTACACCGCTCAAGCCTAAGCTCGGGCGGATACCCTCCGGGGTGAAAGACGAGGGGAGGGAGAACTCGTTCTCTACTCCCGGGGGGAGGGAGATGAAGCAAGAGAAGGAGGTCAAGCTCGAAGAGGAGAAGACCGACGAGGATGTGAAGAGGCTCCTTGAGGGCGCGGAACATTGGGATTGGGGGGACATGCTCAGTTCTCCCGTGAAGGCCGAGCCTCTGCTCAAGCTCGAGCTCGGGGAGAAACTGTTCGTTCCCGCTCTGGCGGACATCAAACCTGTGCGTAACCTCTTGTTTATAGTTCCTTGCTAATACCGTGTAGAAATCCCCACCTCCCCCCCAGCGTGACCCCTGTACCCGGTGCGTGGTCGAATCCTCTACCGTCACCTCGGGGAAACGCGAACAACACGTCCAAGCGCGAATCGACCATACCTCTTCCCGCATCCTCCTAATCCTGAGGGACGACTGGTCCTTCCTCCCTCTTCACGCCGGAGATACGCTAAACGTCCACGCTCCCCTGCTCCCTCCTCCTTCCACCCACTCCCCTGATCTGCCTACCATTGTTGTCAGTGCTAGCCAGGGCATGGTCGTCCACCACCCCGATGTGCTCTTACCACCAACGATGGTGAGCACCGCCAGCCAATGCACGCGCAAGCCGCTCGTCTCCGCCCTCCTCAGGAGCTCACCGCAAGGCGGCGAAGGAGGGGCCAAAGTCGTCCTCTGGGGAAACCTGCTGCACGAAGTCGTACAACGCTGTATGACCGCTTCTGCCCCTCCGACATCAGGCGCAGCGCACGCCTGGACACCGGACCTCATCGATCACCATCTTCGCTCTGTACTGTATTCGAGGACGGGTGTGGAAGGCTGTTTCCGCGCGGGAGTGACGGTGGACGAAGCGCTCTCCGAACTGAGGCGGCGTTCTTCAGGCCTTATCGAGTTCTCGAAACGGTTCATGCGTGCCGAGCCCTCTTCAGATGGGGTGCTGAAGGTCGATGCGCAAGAGGGAGAGACGTGGTTGGCTCTCCGGCGTACCAGAGGGGTGGAGGAAGATGTTTGGTCGCCCTCCTGGGGTTTGAAGGGAAAAGTGGACGCCAGTGTCCAAGTTTCACTCTCGACCCCCAAGGCTGGGTTCTTCGATAGCCGGACTAAGGGGGAGAGGCAGGTTAGGAAGGGGACGATGCCCTTTGAGATCAAGACTGGAAGACCGGGGCGGGGCGTGGAGCATAGAGCACAGACGATGCTTTATACGCTTCTGTTGGGGGAACGATATGGTGCGTGCTCTGTCCGCTCCTTCGCGGTGTCGTTAGATCGTTCTTAGTGCTGACCAAAACGCAGAGGAAGAAATCCCCAGCGGACTGTTATATTACACCCAAAGCGCAGAAGTCATCCAAGTCTCTGCAAAGCGTAACGAGCTCCGGGCGCTGCTCATGGCCAGAAACGACCTAGCAGAATGGACGATGGTGCGCCGACGCGGGCTAGACTCTATCTCTAGGAAGCACTGGAAGCGTTCCAAGGGGCAAAACGATGGCGAAGCGCGCGAGCAAGCAATCGAGGTCGAGCTCGGAGACGTGGAGGAAATGGCCTTCCTCCCTGAGCCGCTGGACGACCCCTGGTCTTGTGGAAAATGTTATGCTCTAGACGGGTGCATGCTCTATCGACGAACGCACGACCCGCTCCCCGTCCCTTCCGATATGGAAGACCTCTTCGTGCAGAAGACGTCGCATATCTCGTCCAGGCAGGCGACGTTTTTCCGCACCTGGGAGAGGCTCGTCTCCCTCGAAGAGAACGATATGAACCGATTCCGAGCTGAGCTGTGGACGATGACTGCCCAAGCTCGGGAGAGCGCCGGGCGGTGTTTTGCCGATATGGTGGTTATCCCGCTCCGAGAGGAGGATAAGAGGTTCCTGGAGGGAGACAGGAAGATCCATACTCATACCGCGAGGTTCGTCAAGCGAGCCACGATCACCCAGAGGGGAGAGACACTCCTCAACGGCCATATTTCCGTCGGGGATCCCGTGGTCGTCTCCGCTGATCCTGGCCTGCTGGCTCTGGCACGAGGGTTCGTGTTGAGCCTTTCCCCGGACGCGGTTGTTCTCGGGTTGGATCATGCTGTGGATGAGGAAGCGCTCAAGGAGCTTCCGATCAAGGACGTTGCAGACCTTGTTTGGCGGATTGATAAGGATGAGTTGTCGACCGGGATCTCGAGGCTGAGGGATAACCTCGCCCAGTTGTTTTATGCGAGCGGAGACGAGCGCCGGCGTTCGCTCGTCGTCGACCTCGATCCCCCGACATTCGCCTCAAACCCGGCATTCGACCCTTCCGAGCTGTCCTCGGCACTCAACGCCCCTCAGCGGACTGCGATAGCCAAAGTCGCGGCTGCGAAGGATTATGCGCTCATCCTTGGCATGCCCGGGACGGGCAAGACGAGCACGATCGCTGAGATTATCCGGATGCTCGTGCGCCAGGGCAAGAGCGTGCTGCTCACGAGCTATACCCACTCCGCGGTGGACACGATCCTCCTCCGTCTTGGTGAAGTCGACTTTGACGTCCTCCGGCTAGGGAATACCGACAAGGTCCATCCTGATTTGAAGAAATACACCCTTGCCGCTCGACCCCAAGCGACCACTGTGCAGCAGCTTGAGAATCAACTGCTCCTCCCGCCTGTGGTAGCTACCACATGCCTGTCAATTGACCACCCGCTCTTTGCTCGAAGGAAGTTCGACTACTGCGTCGTCGATGAGGCATCGCAGATCACGCTCCCGACATGTATCGGCCCGCTCAGATTTACGGACGTGTTCGTCCTTGTCGGGGACCACTTCCAGCTGCCACCGTTGGTGAGGAATCGGGCAGCCCGCAAGGGAGGGCTGGACGTCTCGCTCTTCAGGCGTTTATCGGATGCGCACCCCGAGGCGGTGGTCGATTTGACCCTCCAGTACAGGATGAACGAGGACATCATGCTTTTATCCAATCGGCTGATTTACAACGACCGTCTTCAATGCGGCTCGGAGGAGACAGCTCGCCGCTCATTGGTGCTGAAGGACAAATCGCCCTTGGCAGCATTGCACACTGGCGGCCCGTGTGATGGCTGCTGGCTCGAAGCTCTGCTGGACGAGCGCTGCAAGGCTGTCTTCGTGGACACCGATCTCCTGCCTGCTCGTGACTCGCGTGTTGGCGATCTGGTCCAGAACGAAATCGAAGCCTCCATTGTCGCGCAGCTGGCCAATGTGCTCATTGCATGTGGCTTACGGCCTATGGACATTGGCATCCTGTCCCTTTATCGTCAGCAGATCAAACTCATATCCCATCTCTTGCGTTCCGCCCCTGGAGTGGAGATACTCACCGCTGACAGATCACAAGGCCGTGATAAAGAATGCATCCTGATCAGTATGGTGCGCTCCAATGAGACGGGCGAGCTGGGGGAGCTTCTGAAGGACTGGCGGAGGCTGAACGTTAGCTTCACCCGGGCAAGGAGCAAGCTGGTCATCGTTGGCTCGCGGAATACGTTGGGCGGGACGCTCTTGATGCGAGAGTTTTTTGATCTGATGACGGAGAAGGGATGGATATATGCGCTCAAGCCGGGGGCACATCTGTTGCACGCTGAACAACTGGGTTGTCCGTCTCTGCCGCCGATGTTGAAACGGCTCTCTGAAGAGCCAGAGAACGAGAACGAAGAGAGAAAGAGTGGGACACCTCCTAAGAAGGTGAAGGTTGAGGCCCACTCGCTCTCTCCGGCCAAGCGCGCAATTCTGAGCGATATCATCAACGCACTCTGAATAACTTCAATGTACTTACTATAAGATCTCATGCGCGGGATACCCCATTCATCCAAAAGAGCTTCGCGTGCATTATTGCATACTTCACACACAGCATTGTATTTGTAGCACAATATAGATTTACATGCATGTGTGGGTCTGGTAGAGGAAGGGACAAGAAGTTGCGCAACGCGTTGGCAAATCAGAGGATCAATACATTCTCGCCACCTTGATTGTTGCGCTCAAAGTTGATGGCCATTGAGCCTTCTTATCTGCACTCAATTTCTTTCGATGATTAAGTACCGGAAACCTCTTCGATTGTAGAGAGATGAATCCCTCTTCTGGAAGTGGTGGTCCTAAACTATTCGATAATAGTAACGGCGGCATCACGAACATCAACTATTTGGCGCTGGAGAAGCGTTTGCGAACACAGGAAGCCCGATTGGTCAAACTTGAAGAACGTCAGTCTGAACAACTGCGATGGATACTGGAACTTCAGCAGCTACAAGCAGAGCTATCAGCTTTGGTTATGTTTCAAAACGATCCTGAGCTCGGGAGTGCGTGTACCTTTTATCCTGCTTATCTTCTTTGCGCTTACTTCGGGAATTTGTTTGATCGTATAGCGAGGTACAAGAAGGCAGAGCTTCAGTTTCGAGATATGTTCAATAATCTGGTGCAATATGCTTTGCAACCTCAATCATCGTCACCTCTCGCTCAACCCGCGCCCTCAAATGCTGTCGGCACTTCTTCCGCCCTGCAGCACACCACGCAACAACAACAACCGAAAACCTCTCCTGTACTCGCTGCTGCAACTCTACCTGGCGCTGCCATTGCTACAGCGAATTCATCAACAAGCGACCAACGGCGTCCGCTGTTCTCAACTCACAGAGACGGACCATTGCCAACGCCAAGCTCGAGCGGGGGTCAGAGTTCAAATATTACATTCTTGCTGTCGGATAATGACTCGGTGGATTCTGGATTCAATAATACATGGAGTCTTTCGGGACCGTCGGACGTGAACAGGGGCCGGGAGCCGGAGAAACACACGCAGAGAGGTGGAATGCAAGGCGGCAGACAGGAGACGGAGAATAACGAGTCGGGGAGACATCGAGAGACGGAGCGGTCAAGGGTGAACGACAGGACTAGGGAGAACACGAGATCAAACGAAACACGCAGGGACTATGCTGGTCTCCCGAACGCGAAACGTTTACCGCCAAAGCCTTTCAATCAGTATGATAACTCGCCGAAGGGGAAGAAGCGTGTACGGGGTCCCACACATGGATTTTCTGAGGACGAAGAAGATGAGGAAGAGGAGGAAACAATATCTGAGCAACGAGCGCGGGGCGGCGCGAGAAGGACCGAGAAGCGCGCACGGCGATCTGCCCCCGAAGATGACGAGGAGAGCGAGCAAGAGCGCGGCCGGCCATTGAAGGCAAGAGACAAAAAAAGACGACGGACGCGTTCCATTGCGAGATCTACAAGTCGGAGGCGCCCCCACTTCGAATCTGATATGGACTCGGACGGCGAGACTGCGGAGGACGAGAGCAGTGAAGGAGAAGACCGGGACGAAGAGGATGAAGGAGTGGGAAAAAACGCCCCCAAACAGAAACAAACGGAGAAACGAACCGAGAGAAACTCGAAAGGCCGCAAGAAGAAGACCATCAAACCCATCTCCGATCTTTTGACACGCAATCGTAAAGGACACTTCATCAACCGAGACCGGGCGGCGCACAACGAGAAACGGAGGTTGCAGATGAGGAGACAAAGAGAGGCAGAGCTGGAGCAGAGGGAGAATACTGCGAAAGCAAAGCAACAAAACCAAAAGGATGAGAATACCTCGTTGAACACGCGGAGAAAATCAGAGAAGGGTCGGGACGAAGCGCATACACAAAGTGGGAGCGATGAGGAGGAGGATCAGGTAGAGCAAGAAGTCGTTGACGAAATGGAAAGTGAACAACAGGACGAGTCGGAACTAACCGAACCGGAACTAACGGAACATGAGGGTGCAGGGGAAAGGAAGTCAAATGGGACCGATTGGGAGCAGTTTCCTAGGAGGTCGCCACGGAAGAAATATGTACGTCGCCGTTCGTCTGATATTAAACAGTCTTCCCATCTGATGCTGGCAACAGGACGTGAGTTACACCAACATAAATCCAACCAAATGGGACTCGGCACACGCCAAGTTCGTCACGCAGCGTGAGGCCGAATTGTTGGCTGGGATGGATGATGACGACCCCGAGGCGAAGTTCCTCCGAGACAAGCTCCAGCTCGCGGCATTTTTGTCTAATCCCCCATTGATGCTCAATCACAATATTAGCTGGGATACATTTGCTGAGAAGGTGCGCAGGCCAACTCTTTGATCCTGTATATCAAAGCTTACGCGGGTTCTATAGAATACTGCAAGGGGTAAACGCGCCTGGCAGAACGTGTATTATGCAAATCGAAAGTTTATTGATGCGGAAGTGAAGAGGATAAAAGCCAATGCAGTTTCCATAACCGATCCCAGTGAACCTGCCGACGTGCGTTCAATCTGATTAGGTTCCTGTTGTTATTTGTCATGTGTTCCATGTAACGACGAGTGATCTGCTGTACGGTGACTCCCGAAGGAATGTTCATTGCCAAATCCAGGATGAAACAAAATCAAAAGATCACAATACAACAAGAGTGGCAGCTGGCTGATCACAGAGCACCAAGCTTTTCTAGCAGCACACCTCTCCCTTTCACGTCCTTCTCATTGAGCTCTCGAAGAACCTCCGAAGTGAAAATCTCTGCAAGCTTCTTCCCAGCGGGTTTGCCCTTTAGCCTGTTTGCAAGCTCGGCTACTAAAAAGGCACCGGAGCCACTCCCCATCGACACAAGAGCCTCGCCTTTCTGGTGGCCTCCTGCAGCTTCGAAGAAAGCAACAGCAAAATCATCGCCAGACCAGGATGATGGCTCGTCCACTCGCATGGATTCCTTTTCATAATGTCCTCCTTGAATGAGGGTCTTGTACAATCGTGAGACGTGGGGATGATTGATGAGCTCTGTTAGCTCCGCCCAGTTCTCGTCTTGTGTGGCATCCCGAATTGGCCGCAGGAGCGTCTCCGTGGCCGTTGATTTATCTGTAATGGTCTCAGAACCATATTTCAAATCGATCGTCTAATCCGACGTACCACCGTCGGCAAACAACATAATCTCAGTTACCACCAAGCTGGCGCCTGGATCCTTCATCATTTCCACGCCCTTGCTCGCGACGCAGGAAATAAGATCTCCACTTGCTGCCTTTCTGACTTCGTCTCTTCTCACTTGAGGGTCCTTTTTGCTTGTCTTGGTGCTTACAGCGTCAGTTTCGCTGAGCAAGGCTAGCGTGGGTGGAGGGAAGTGTCGCGGGCTGCGTGGTACGAGGAGATAGAGGAGCACTCGTCGGCCAAGCTTATGCTTATCGAAGGAGAGGGAGGGTGCAAGGTCAGTGATGTCTGAGACTATCGATTTTGCTAGAAGTTTGGTGTCGCTGAAAAAGAAATTAGATTCTGCGGCCCAAATGCTCTTAAACGCGTACTCCACTACATCAAGTGCTGTTAACAGCACTAACTGAGCCTCCTCGTCCTTGCAAATCTTCTCTATATGCGGCTTCAAAGTCTTCATTATGACCTTCCTGTCTTTAGCCGTTCCTCTAGCGAGAAATTCTCGAACGACCCTGCTTCCGTCCTTTGTGTGCACGAACTCGGCAAGAAGTTCCTGACAACTAATAGACGGCTCAGAATGCAAAGTCTGACAACGAGAATAGAGCGGCCTACTTGTCGAACACCTCACGTCGCAGCCTCTCTTGTTCTGCCTCATCTGGTAGCCCGCATAGCTCAGACAGGTACTCCCATGTCGCTTTGTGCACGATTGATAAACTTGCGGCGCCCTTGTCAGGATTGTTGAATCTGCACGATCGTTAACGTCGCATTTCACCAAAGACACCATAACAGTTGGGCTCACATAGTCATGAGGTTCTCCTGGACAGCGCTGAGAACTCTCCTGCGTCTTTCCACCGTCGACCCTTCCAACACTGATTTCAGGCCTCCTTTTCCAAGCTTCTGGCTATCGAACAGCGCCACCTCCTTGCCGTAGAAGTCTCGCAGTAGCAACGCTCTTTCTGCAGGATTACAATATAACTCGTATGCATCTGCAACGACCTGAGACGCCTCTCGATGGAGGAGTAATCGAATAACATCCTTCTGGAATTCCTGGAGGATCGAAGCTCTGTGCATGGGGCAATATCGAATGAGCTTGGTGACCAGAAACTTGGAGTACTTGCTCGTTGCTAGCTCGGAGTATGATCCCTTTAGCTCTGCCGCGATCTCGTTCCTCTCCTCGCTGCCTCCATACTTCGCAAGGGTCTGGACGATGCGACTCGTGTCGTGCTTGAAGACGATCTCTTTGACATGCCCGCGTATAGCTTCCATGAGGGCTTTGACATGCTTAGTACGCTCGTCCTTTGAAATCTCTGTTTTGCGAGCGAGAGACCAAAGATGTTTTGCATTCGCGGTTAGGTCAGCATTAGGCTTTGCCGCCTTCCGGGCTTTGCGATCTTCCTTCTTGGCCAGCTTGTCTTCTGAAATGTTTATGAGCTTAATGCAGCTATTAAGTATGAGAACGCACGCTTTGTCATAGTTCGCAGCTGAGATAACTCCTCGTCGTCCATTTCTTCTCCATCAACAGCCATTTCCACCTGCAACTCGTCAATCGATTTCTCACTAGGCTCATCCTCGCTGTCCTCCTCCTCGTCGCCATCCTTTGCCTCGTCATTTTGTGTCGCCTTTTTCTTCCCATCCGCATTGCTCTTGCTCACTGGGCCGTTACTTTTGATGACCCCATTCGGAGGCTTGCCGCGTTTCGTCTTCGGCTTCTCATTGCTGCTCCCGACCTTTCCCACAGGTTCAGGCTTCGTGCTGTTCCCACCGTTGGCCACTGCCACTTTCTTAGATGGTGGACCGCCTTGTGAAGGCGCGGCACGTTTTGGAGGCATTTAGGACTGATTTTGAAAGACGAGAAAGATAAGATGCGCTACTAGCTGGCAAATGTAGATTTTGGAGGCCAAAATTTGGTGCACAGCATGATAGTGGCTGTGCTTGACCTGGTAAGTACCTGGTTCTGCTCGCGATACACACGCGCACTCGATCATGATTGTCACGTCAGTACATACGCTCACGAACACGTGGACTATTTTGCATTCAACTTAAATACGACTTCCGGTGTGTATAAATTGCTACTGCGAGGTTAACTTGACCTGGGAATCCGAAGACGGCTTTATCTACAACTGGACGTTCTGCCTGGAAGGCTGTCAAACTTCGTCATCATGATCAAATTAGCACGTACGGGAACCGGCCAATAACATTGCCTGCGGGAGAATACTCGCATACGTGAAATTTCGCTTTCTACACCATATATAAGTATATGAGATTTGATACGCTGTACTGAACTACTCACCCCGAACTTGGGATCGAATATACCGTTACATTCGGCCATCGCGCAACCCACATGGGTGGACGACTTCCATACGACTTGGGTGAAGTGGGACGGCTGGGGGTTGCGGGGATTATAGTTTCCTATGTCATGCGGTGAGCAATTGTTCTCGAACTCTGTCTGGAAGAAGTACTTACTCGACTCGTCGGTCCATGACTTGATGGCCGCGAAGATATCGTACTTGCTCCCAGTCCCAGCCGCGAGGTTCTCTGCTCCGTCTCAGTACCCCGGGACCTTGTATCATGTTATGAAACCTACCACCATACGGACCAAGAGTACCACCGGAGTGCTTGAAGACGCATCGATTTGCCCACTGCTGTGCCTTCTGCGCCAACGTGTTATCCCAAGCCAATGGACGCGCTCCATGTTTAGTTCGGAAATCATTGTGGGCCTTCAGGCAGTCATTCTTTGCATCCCAGGTATTGTATTCGTCTTCGGCGAATTCGAGGGCCACGATGGAGGTGTAACCATCGACGTAAACTACAGGTACAGTGTCCGGCACGGCAAACTCGGACAATGCGAATGCGTCGTCGGAGAAATCCAGTATGATCTCGGCACTTGGGGCTGCGGTAACCAAGCCGAGGCTGGCAGCAAGGAGGAGAAGAGCGCGGATTAGCATGGTATGCATCTTGCTATAAACTGAGGCTTCGTAGTTGACTTGCTGTCACCTTTCTTACTCTAGGGCTGTATATATGCACCATACGGTCCCCCCACGTTGACTGTCCTCAAGTTGGCCCACGGAGATATTCCCGCAGCTTTACATCTCGCATCATAGCAATCCAGTTCATGAAACACATCAATCGAGTCTGTCCACCAGATCTACAAGGCCTTCTAGGCTGAAAAGGCTGGAGTTGTCTTAGTGGATTCTCGACCTCTAACCAAAGATTGGGCGTATCGTGCGTTATATAAGGAAGATCCGCGCAGGTCCACCAGTTATGGTAAAGGTCGGGCATCCCATCAACTATTATCAAGGCTGGGCGAAAACCGCGCTTATCCCGTGTGTACAGCCCAACTTTCCATCTTGCAGAATTCTAACACTCATCACAGTATGAAACCACATAACGTCGGCTTCATAGAGCGATCACCGCCGGAATCTTGCCATGGACAGTCAACACTCTGCTGGTTCCGTTCGTCCCGTGCCCAGCGAACGTGCCGCAAATCTTTGAACTCCAAGTCAGGGACACGTTGTCAGGCTCGGCTAATCAGGGCGTCTATTTTGATATTAGACATCGCCACCCACACGTCACTCCGGGAATGTTCATCGTGCCACAAACGGCTCGAGCGCGTTGGCTCCGATATCAACAATCCTGCCGAATTCAAAGAGACCCATGACCAGGGGAAAGGGGCTCCAGCCTTTCTCAGGACACGGTTCCGTCCCTTGCCAAGGTCGTCGCCATCCGGGGTTTGAAATCCCCGGATTTGCTTATTTTCACAATGTTTCATCAATGGAAGTCCATGTAAGTGACTCTTACCCAGTGTAAGGAACTTCTTCCCACACCGAGTCACTTTGGGGGTAGAAGCGTGTCGAAATTCGAGGACAAGGCCCGCAAATACTGATCGATTGCTTTTACTAAAGTGGTAAAGGCACACGAACGCTTATCTACGCTCCCCCTTTCCGCATACCATCGTTATTGACTTGGAACTCTTGGCTGACAAAACACAGAAGCACCAGTTGTTCCTTTGGCCAAAAGCGGCTGGTTGGCTCACCCCAACATTGCACAGCCAAATCTAGCCCCCGAGAACACAGCAACTTTAGGCTTTCAGTAGCGTCGACTCATCATGGTTAACCTTGTGCAAGCCACACTGCCCCTTTATAGGTTGTTGTTTCTGAACGACACAGCGCTTCTCAGCAGGATCACGCGATTGCACACAGGGCCCATGATTCTTTGATGGCCGCTGTGGATGGTTGGTCGTCAGGTAACTCAAAATGCTAAACCCCTGCACCTTCAGAGACGCTCGGACTTATAAATTCCGTTCATCACTCTGCCAGTTTTCCCCCCATGCGCGATTCGGATCGCAAGCCTCTGATTTTCCGCAACTTCAAGCACTATGCCAGCTGTTCCACCGCAACGCCAGACCACGTACGGCACTATGGATGGTGTGCCTTATCATGAGCCGCCTGCTCATCCTAGGCGCCTCATAGTTTGTTTCGACGGCACAGCCAACCTGTTCGAAGGCACTAATACTAACGTCGTTCACTTGGTTTCTTACCTAAAAAAAGACGACCTGCAAGAGCAGCAAGTGTACTATCAGGTGATCAACATCGTCTCCGTTATACACTTGATTTAACGTCCAGCAAAGACAGGGGTCGGAACTTACATCAGTCCTGGAATTTTCATGCCTCTGATCGTAGACCTTCTCAAGATAATGGACGAAGGAATAGCGTGGGACCTTCCAAATCATGTGCGAGTCCTCTTTCTTCGTGGTTGTCTAACTCATCTTAGAGCTTCGTAGATCATGGGCGGTTATAGGTTCCTGATGAACAACTGGACACGGGGAAGCAATATCTCTATCTTCGGCTTTTCGCGTGGGGCTTACACTGCTCGTGCCTTGGCTGGCATGCTGGAGAAGGTCGGACTGCTTTCCCGCGGTAATGAAGAACAGATTCCCTTCGCGTACAGGATGTATATTAATGCAGGTGCTACCGGATGGGCTCAGAGCCGAGGATTCAAACGTGCTTTTTCCCATGAAGTTCATGTAGACTTCCTCGGTGTTTGGGACACTGTCGCTTCTGTTGGCATATTCACTGTCAAAGATCTGCCCCTCAGCTCGTCGGCTCGTCATATTCGAGTTTTCCGAGTAAGCTATGCCCCCCATTCATGCCTGTGAGCAGCACCTAACTAGCAATCTAGCACGCCATCTCACTCGACGAACGGCGTTGCAAGTTCAAGGAAAACCTGTGGCAGGCGCCATTCACCCCTCCCGGCTCATCAACGTTACATGAAGCCGATAAAAAGACTGTATTGGTCACTCATCCACATAAGTTTGTCAACGAGCCTACTAGCAGCCTCCGAGATGAGGAAGCGGAAGCAGGCAGCGTTGATCTTGCCCTCGGGCATCATGCGCCAACGGATGTGTTGGAAGTTTGGTTTGCAGGCGGACATGGAGGTATGAACGAGTCTGTTCCTGAGATCGGAACGTCCGCTGATATGTTTTCTAGATGTCGGCGGTGGTAATGTCAAAAATGGACAATTCTCCAGTACTAATCGCATACCACTCACTTGGATGATTCGCGAAATCGTACTAGCCAATACGGGTATTGTCTTTGACGAAGAGGCCCTCGCAGCGGATGGGATCATTCTTCCCCAACCCAACCCACAAACGACCATCGTCAGCGGGGATTCCGTTGACAAATCCCAGACAACGCGTGTCCTTGTAATTGAAAATCACATTTCCAACCTCAACAAGCGATATGCTGAAGATGTGGTGGCACTAGTTTTCGATCAACTCAAACTCAAATGGGCATGGTGGATTTTGGAGATAATGCCTTTCACGTACCGGATTGCTAGAAAGAGGGGTGGGCCTGGACACTGGAAACTTTCGCCTTGGTGAGTAGTCTCCGCCAAATGTCTGGTCTGCCAGCTGACATGGAATGGATCAAACAGGCCGAATAATGGAGGTCCTCGATCCACGCCAGACGGTCGAATGAAAGTTCACGTCTCTGTGCGCGAGAGGGCCGAAAAGACAGGATATAAGTCAAATTTACGGTGGAATCAGGAGCCTGAATGGGTGGAATGAGTAACCATCCGTTTCTTGTTAGGAAAGGCGGTTCCGGAGAGTTCCTGTTGTAGTAAAATGATTGTATGTACGTATTGATAGTACCAAAAGAAGTCACGTATAATGCAACTATATTCGAATGCATCTTGGTCGATGTGGCTGGATCGGGATGTTGGGAATGTCGTAGACACCTTTACCATCATGTTCGAGATCAGATAAGGGGCGGGCGGATCCGTGGACAGTACCAAACCGGCTACTCCTATCGTGGCTGTGCTTCTTCTTTATCAGAAGTCCCTGTATGGAAGTCCTTTGCGGACAGCTGTTTAGGGGTCCACGGGCATCGGCTTTAGTTAGGGGCTGTGCAATTCCTTTTGACTCCGGTCAGAAGAGGACCCCATTCACTCGGGCGCTGGGGGAGCGCAAAAAGGTGGGAAAACGGAAGCAAATTGCTTAAATAAGCAGTCACGTGATTTTAGCTACGGACTTGTGTGTGTGTCTGCGTCGCGAGTATGCGGCCCGGAGTGCTGGTAAGAAGGGAAGAAGAAATAAGAAGAGTCTTCAGGAGAATCCTGGAAGATCCTGGACTCCGGCATAGCCGTGCCATGTGGTTTGCCAGCAGAGACGCTGGAAAAGCTCCAGCGATGCGGACCGCATGGACCCTGGTCTCCGCTTCTGTTCTTCCACACGCTTCTCTGCTTCTGTTCTTCTTGATCTGTCTGGAATTCTTAGGGCATGCGCTGGCGACTCACACACAAGTCCGTAGTTAAAATCACGTGATAGTCACGTGGTTGCTTATGTAAGCAATTTGCTTCCGTTTTCCCACCTTTTTGCGCCCTCCCAATGCCCATGACTGGGGTCCCCGCAGGGCCGTCGGAAGCAGAAATAATGGCCGAACTGGCCACGTGGGACCAGTCCGCGAAATGACGTGGGCAGAGGTCTTTTGCGGACCGCTGGGACCCCTTATCAGGCGACCAAGGTAGCTGTCCGCAAAGGACTTCCATACCCCTGAACCTGCGTTCATGAGGTCAAAGTACTTTCAGCTCGTCCTTCATTCACCCAAATTTCCTTCACCATTTCATTGAACGTGACATAGTGCAACTTCCGAGGATGGAGTTTGTTGCCCTCTCAGAGGCTTGACTCTTCTACTAGGAGGTTATCCTCCCCGACCTATAAATGCCTGCGGGCTCTCGGCCCCGCTCCCCTCTCCTTTCAATGAGACGTGCGATCATTGTATTCAACTCCTGTCAAAGTTCCGCCCAAGGAGGCGCAAACATGGATAATATACCTGAAGAAAGATCAAAGGAGATCCTTGCGGCAAATGAACATGCTGAACCGCTCGCCGATCCTCGACGACTCATAGTCTGTTTCGACGGCACGAGTGACTTATTCGATGCGGATAACACTAACGTCGTACGGTTTGTTTCGTACCTCAAGAAGGAGGACATGAGTAAGCAGCAAGTCTACTATCAGGTGAGGGAAACCATATGTATATGCGCCCTTCAGCTTACCCTCTAGTACTCCCAGACGGGCATAGGGACTTACATCAACCCTGGCATGTTGATGCCCTTGACGGTCAAGTTTCTCGAACTAGCGGACGAGGTAGTGGCTTGGAATCTCTCTGATCACGTTCGCCGTGGTTTCTCTTCTTATTGACTGGTATTAACCTCATTCAGATCATGGGCGGATACCGATTTCTGATGGCGAACTGGACACCAGGGACCAAGATCTCCATCTTCGGTTTCTCTCGAGGTGCATATACTGCGCGGGCTCTGGCAGGCATGCTTCACAAGGTCGGACTCCTGTCGCGCGGCAATGACGAGCAAATTCCCTTTGCATACAAGATCTACGCCAAAGACACTGTAGAAGGATGGCAAATGAGCGCCGCCTTCCAGCGTACCTTTTGCCACGAAGTGACCATCGATTTTCTGGGTGTCTGGGATACAGTCTCATCAATCGGCTTGTTCACGATTCATGATCTGCCGTTCAGCGCTTCGAATCACCAAATCCGCGTATTCCGGGTAAGTACCAAGTTGAATAAGTCCTTGGCGAGGCATTTACAGGATCCAAGCACGCGGTTTCACTTGACGAACGTCGATGCAAGTTTAAGGCTAACCTCTGGCACCATTCTACTGGCCCTCCTGATTTGGATCTGAATGCGGGCGAGATTTCCTCCACATGGACGAGGTTCATACGTGGTCGTAATGGGAAGGTTCAGACGAATCAAGAGGATGGCATAGACGGTCCCGGAATCTCCGCATATCCCTTCACTACCGATGTAGAGGAGATTTGGTTTGCGGGGGGGCATGGAGGTACGTTTGATTCACATCCACTATCCATTTGCCACGTAAACAAGGGCCTAATTTCTATAGATGTCGGCGGCGGAAACTGCGATAACTCCGTCCAATCCAGTTCAAATCGTATTCCATTGGTGTGGATGATCCGAGAAGTTGTTCTCGCCAACACAGCCATCCTGTTTGACGAAGAAGCCTTGGAGGCCGATGGCATTGTGCTTCCGGTCGTGCGCCAACCCAAGGATGCATCCATGCCCGACAACCGGGTCTCAACCCTCGATCTGCGGTACAATGACGATGTTCTGTCGACGATCACAGACCAGCTCAAAGCTGTGTGGGCGTGGTGGATGCTGGAGGTTTTGCCGTTCACGTATCGTGTTCGTACAGAGAAGAACGGGCGAGACTCTTGGAGGCTCGCATTCTGGTACGTCCAAAATCCGCCATGCAGGTTTGGTGAACGCTGACTTCGTGCATATAGGCCCAATTTCGGCAGGCCGCGAGCAACCCCTGATGGTCGCATGAAGGTGCACGTGTCCGTGCATGAGAGGATGCAGCGAACCAACTACACACCAAAGGTGCGGTGGCACGAGGAGCCTATGTGGATCGAATGATATGCTAGGGGCAGTCTCGATGCAAATGAATGACGCATGAATGGCCCCTTGAAGCCGCTGCCCCTGATATTTATTTCCACGGAAGGCTGTGTGACTGATCAATTGTGTCTGTTCCTGCGGTGGCTGTTCCGACCGATTCCGTCAAAGTCTCCTTTTCAGAGCAGTTCCGGATTAAATATACCATCGGAATATAAAATCAAGGGGATACTGTACCGTGCCAGGTCGATTGACTGTATAATACCGTTCGATATTCGCCAGTATAATGCTGTATCAGGTTGTGTACCGCTCTGTATTGATTTCCAATAGAAGCTGACGGACGGACCACAGGCCCTCACGATTCCTGGAACGAGCGGCGAAACCCCTGGTTGTGACGTCCACACCTGGTTTGAACAGATTAACAAGCTCCGGTGTTCGCTCGGGCTTACTATACTATACCCCAAAAATAGCATGGTGCGGCTAGGACACAGCTGTTTCTCTATTCACGAATCATCTCCATTGAACCTGGCGTAGCGCAACCGTACTAGGCCTAGTACTGCCTAGTGTGTCAGGTTTCCCGATGGAGTCCGTTGCCCCTCTCACACACTGGATTTCTCTGAATGGAGGCCATTATTCCCGGTGGTATAAAAGAGGCCTGCTCCTTGCTGCTGATCCTCTTTCCTTTCCCTAGACTTGCGAACATTTTATTCCTCTCCTAACAACATTCTCTTCAAGAACATGCCAGTGTCTATGGATACGATGCGATCTGAAGAACCATCAAATAAGACCCTTGTAACAAACGGACATGCTCAGTACTCTGCCAGTGCTCGAAGGCTCATTGTCTGTTTCGACGGTACTAGCAATCTATTCGACGAGGCGAACACCAACGTCGTAAGATTTGTGTCCTACCTGAAGAAAGACGACATGGATCAGCAACAAGTCTACTATCAGGTTAGGAAACTATCCCTGTAATCACGGTGCCGCGCGCTCATTGTTCACAGACGGGTGTCGGTACCTACATCAAACCTGGCATGTTTATGCCATTGACGGTCAAACTTGCCGAACTAATCGATGACGGCGTGGCTTGGGATTTATCTGCCCATGTTCGCTGAAGTCCCTCTCCTTGCTAATCCGTGTTAACTTTTGACAGATCATGGGTGGATACCGCTTTCTCATGCAAAACTGGACGCCAGGTTCTAAGATCTCCATCTTCGGTTTCTCCCGCGGTGCATATACTGCCCGTGCGCTGGCAGGCATGCTTCAGAAGGTCGGACTCCTGCCACGCGGCAACGACGAGCAAATTCCCTTTGCATACAACTTCTACGCAAACGATTCCGCAGAAGGATATCGAATGAGCACCGGCTTCAAGCGCGTCTTTTGCCACCAAGTGACCGTCGATTTTCTAGGCGTTTGGGACACGGTGGCCTCGGTCGGCTTGTTCTCCGCTCGGGATCTGCCATTCAGCACTCAAGATCACCACATACGCGTGTTCCGGGTGAGTACAGCTTTATGACTTGTTGAACAGGTATTTACAGCCTTCTAGCATGCGGTTTCACTTGACGAACACCGGGTCAAGTTCAAGGAAAACCTGTGGCATTTTGCCACTGGCCCTCCTGACTCGACCCCGGCTGGGCATCCCTCTTTGTGGACGACTTCCACTAGTCTAGACAGATGCGCGCCGACTCCATTTGCGACCGACTCGGAAGAGGTTTGGTTTTCGGGAGGACATGGAGGTACGGTTGTTCACATCCCCCATCCAGCTATGACTTAGAAGACGGTCGCGATCCACAGATCTTGGGGGCGGAGCTGTCAAGAATTACGTCCAATCCAGCCCGAATCGTATCCCATTGGTTTGGCTGATCCGAGAAGTCGTTCTGGCCAACACCGGGATCCAGTTTAACCAAGCAGCATTGGACGCCGACGGCATTCGGCTTCCGGTTATGAACCCACCCAAGGATGGGCGCGACAATTGGATCTCATCCCTCGACAAACGATACGAGCACGATGTGCTGTCGAAGATCACAGACCAGCTCCTGGTCGTGTGGGCGTGGTGGATACTCGAGTTCTTGCCGTTCGCGTATCGTATTCGTACAGAGAAGAACGGGCGAGAGTATTCGAGACTCGCGATCTTGTATGTACCACTGTGCAGTGCAGCATTGATCAACGCTTACCTTCGGGATAACAGGCCCAATTTTGGCAGACCACGAGCAAGGCCTGAGGGTCGCATGAAGGTGCATGTGTCTGTGCGTGAGAGGATGCAAGAAACCCGTTACACACCAAAGGTGCGGTGGAACCAAGAGCCTATATGGATTGATTGATGTCCCGCGAGAGTGAGCGGTTGATGGCAAGATTGTAGGAAAAGTTTCCCATAGGAATGTATGACGTAATGAGGGGGCCTGGAGTGCCGTCGCCGCTTTGATGGAAGGCTGTGTGAGATCAACGGTGCCTGGATTGATGGCTTGGCGGCCTACCACCTCCGTCCCTTTCGGTCCAGTTCGAAACCCGCATCGTGCCCTCAACATGTTTTTGATGCTCGGAATGTTCGAATATTTGTTTCTCTTCCTACGTCTACCTGCTCTCTGCTCTCTTTGACTGACACCGACACCCACATTTGTAGAACACGATGCTTCCCTCCAGGCTGCACTTACTCTCTCTTGCTGCTTTGTTTGGCCTTGTAACGGCGCAGAGCAGCCCAACACCATGCCTGCTGCCCAGTGTCAGCTCTTTCATAATGTCTGCCGGCGCCCAGGTTGCAGAGCAGTCAGCGTGTCCCTCATGGGGCATAGACAATGACCCACTTTACCTTGTTTGGCCCGACCCTGTAGGCTTCTCATCGTGCAATAGCCGTTTAAATTTGACTGGTATCATTAGAACGACCTCGTCTTGATCTTCCTCGGGAACACTTCGGCCAATGGGAGCTGGACAGCGCCCGTCTTCCTGCCCGATCAACTGCCAGTGTACGGCTTTGGCTGGATGGTAGGCTCACCTGCATCATTCCCGCATCCTGTTCCCCCAACTAAGTGCAAACAGATGTATCGTCCTGGATCTGTACAAACCGGGGAAGGGATGTTCAACTTTGCGTCAGAGCTCTCTCCCGCATTCGCTATCCTCCCATCTGCGATGTCAAGTAACACGACCACCCTTCGGGCAGGGGACATCCGCCTGCTGGAGCCTACAGACGTCGCTATGCCATACGATCGAGACGCGCTCTTGTATCCCGAAGCAGACCGCGTGGTGTTACAAGTCCCGGGCGGGGTGAACAGTACGGGTCAAACGGTCACTCTGCTCTTGTACCACGTATGTACCTCCTTCCCCGTTTGTGAAGTTGCTGAGCAGTCTGGCAGTGGTTGACCCCTTACCCCCTCATCGTACTAGGGGAAGACGTCCCGCTCCCTGCTCCAGGGACACAGCTCGAGTACATGTTCGACCTATCCCTCTCAAGCACCTTCCCGACCGGAGCGTGGCAAGTCGTCCTCGTCCCCTCCATGACAGAGATCGAGCTCGTATTAGCCGCTAGCGAGCCCTTTGTCTTCCCTGCCGAAAACCAGGGAGCGACGGGGAGCGTGAGCCTGGCTACTGCTGCGTAAGCTCCGGGTTCTTCATCTTCGTGCTACGCTCAGTCAGGGGTAGGAACACTTTGAGCGCCTCTGCAACGCTCACCCTTAGCGCGTCGAGCGAATCGACAATCACGAGGTCGATCAACGCCCCTCCCTCTAGCCTTCTCTCCACGCTCTCGCCCCCGATACATAGCAAGACGCAGACGGCAGCTCTAAGCGGCTCACCGAGCCCCAGCTCAGGCTCAGGATCAGGGTCGACTTCCGGCGCGTTGCCTACCCCGGGAGGGGGTAGGTTGTTGTTAGTCGTAGCGGGGTTGTGGCTGCTTTCCCTATCCTTGTGAGACACCCGCCTAGCGTAGTCAGCACACCCGGATATTCCGTGTCGTCGATACCCTCTAACGCGCTAATGATATCACATTCATCCTGGATCGACAACTTGAACATCACACAACAAACCAGGCCAGCGCCTGGTCTACATAGTCTAGTCTAGAGAAGCGTCGGGTCCTACGCCAGCCCTCTATGTATATGGCACACAATTGATGGCCGTATCTGCACTTGCTCGAGGTGCAAGTGCGTGCGTATATGGATCAGGGAGTTTATGAGTACCTGATATAGAAGACGGACTCCGGAAGACAGAAGGGACACCTCTTGGGTTGGATCATTTTGTGTCCGAAATATCGGTCCGATGGGTGGTGTGCAAGAACTCGCTTGGAAAAGAGGGGAGAGATGGTAGAAATGCGGGAGTCAGCCCAAAGCTGAGCTGTCAGAAATCAGTCCGTAAATCAGAGGTTGGTCTCCATCTAGTCAGATACGTCCAGTCAAGTCAAATATGTTAAGTCAAATCAAGTCTGCCAGTACACAAATAATCGGATCTGTGTAAGTCTATCAGAAGAGGGGCAGAATTAGCTAGATACAGAAGTTTCTGAAAACTACTTATACTAGCTACCATAAACTGTACTCTATACTAAACCGGTCTCCAGATACCTCTCTAAGACAGGTGTTGGCATGCCACATATCCAGATGGGTTGATCCCGTTGCAGAGGAAACCTGCAGTTGTCATACCAAATATCTGAGTGGTCCCATTGCCTGGGAAATCATAGTAGTCACCATGCTGAATATCTGGGGAGGGTCAAGACTTGTTGCTGGGGTGCGTTGTCTGCCTAGTGAGGGTCCGTAGTGCTGCGCAATGGCCTCTAAGGCCCAAAAATAATCATGGGAATACCACTGCATGACACAGCACTCCCACAATCTAATTCATTAGAAGAAGACAGATATCCTAGGGCAACTACTTCCTGCCCTTGAGGGGGCATACCCTTAAGTGCTCACTCCCAAAGATCCCTTTGCTTTGCAGCTCCCTCAATGAGTAGGCACCTACAATATGGTCAGTCCTTCAAGGGGATAGCCACTCTGCATCCCCACTCTTCTGAGGCAACATTAGTGAGTCATCCATGCATGTCGATTACAGCCAACTGATTTTCTTAGACTCTAGCCAAACACTTAAGCACATGCCTCATCAACCCCACCTGAACACCATCAAATATGGGTAACCTATCAGGTAAAGTAAGTCTACTGAGATTATACTGATCAGGAACCACTCTGATCTGATGTTGAGGCCCAAGAGCCAGCCATTGCAATACCGGTGAAGGAAGAAGTGGTCCTGCCCACTCTCATGTCAGTGGTTCAGAAAGCCAAACTGATGACCTCAAAGTCCAGTCCATTGTGCACCACTCATCAGACATCATCAACAAGCATGGTGTTTGTGATCAAAATGCTCACTGGTCCTCACAAAGGCCAAATAAGGAAAATCCATCTTCCAGGCTGATGTCTACACAAGTTTGACTACAGATTGCTTCCTATTTTGGAATTCTTTTACTTCTGAACAATGTACACATTCTAGGAGTGGGAACTTAGAATACTACATGGACTACTCAGAAAACTTTTTCATCATGACAAAGTTGCCGATTTGTTCAAGGATCACTTGATAGGCCATGAGGACAACCCACTGGTGATTTGGAAGAGCAGGAATGGATGAGGAAATTGACTGTTTGATCAGAAACCATGCCCTGTCTAAGTGTCAGGGGACATCCCTAAAATCAATTGTGGACAGCTGCAATTGACAACAATCAGAGCACAGTCACATGGCACAACACCCCAAACAACAGCTGATACTACAATCACCTGACTCCAGGAAGGACAGATCCCAGAATGTGAGACATTGGTCATAGATCATGCAGGACCCACCAGACAAGAGACATAAGGTGCCTGCCCTAAGCAAGCTGTATAGTCAGCCACAGACTTTGCTTCCTTTTTACTTCCATACCTAGACATATATAGAACCCTAGGTATAGCCTAGCCCCTGTAGCTCTTTAGAGCTAATCTCTTAGGAACCCCATGGTCCAAGGTCATTAGGTTCTAAACCCGAAGCTTTAATTGTTCCAAATGTGCACATGACATACACACAATCGTGCCTGTCAGCTGCTGATCCCCACTTACTCTATAACACCCCTGTTGATCACTCCGTTTGTGAACAAACATCAAGGTATTGATTGATGTATGACTCACTACTCTCTGATTTGCTCATTGCCTGTTTGGTTATTTGATCATCAACAATTGTTGGATTGTGTTGCCCTCACCCCAAGGCTCTTGCATTCTTCACTCCCAAGGCCTGAGCAAATTTTGGGTGCTGATTAACAACCCCAAGGAAACCAGACTCGTTGCACAGGACAACACATGCTGGATGTGATCAAGTGAGTTTGAATACTTTGATGTGAGGTCAATGTTGATTGCATTGTCACACTGGGTGTCATGTGTATTGTTTCATTTTGGCACCCTGTCAGCTTGTTGGGCAGATCAGTGAACTTGTCCATGTTCAAGTGCAAACAATTGTTCATGGCAGTGCCACCAGGTGCAAGGGATGAGGTGCAAGATGGTCAGTCTTTTGTGACTTCTTCAAAACAACCAGGGCAGAGATTTTTGAACATGGAGCTATTTGAAGATAAGCACCAGGTGGGTTCATCAGTAGAAATGCTATAGAGACTTTGGAGCAGGATCACAATGATGATGGAGAGAATGAGCAATATTATTGGCCACCAGAGGCTTCTTTAGAGTCATTAGATAGTGTCAGATTGTGTGGCATTTCAGCTCACCAGCCAAGGCCAAAGAGTGAGCCAGTACCTGCCAAAGAATGGGAGGTAAGGCTCTCATGTGGTGCAGGCTTTGGAAGTATGAGCTCATCCTTCATTGCTTTCATGAGCACAGCCTTGATCGGTTCTTGACTCGAGATGATGTAGTTTGGCATTGAGGTTTCTAAGCCTTCTGTGTGGAGGGAGGCAGCAACCATGTTGGCATGCCATTGCAATACTGAGGCATGCCCAGTGAGAAAGCCATGCTGTTTGTCATGATTCATGTTGACCTCAAACAAGCCTTCTTGTGACAGGCCAATGATGAGGCATGGCCACACAAGCCTTTCAGCTATTGAGAAAGAGGCGGCATGTAGTGATGGCTCCATCAAATACAGAGTATAAACCTGACCATGCAATGGACTGACCATCCTGGAGACCTCCTGATGGATTGTTGAGAACCATTGTCAGCAATCACCACTTTGCAGCAGACATGACCCAATTCACCTTTCCATTAGCTACACCTAGGTCATAGACCCACACTCCTGCAACAGCAAACATGTTCTCTAGTTCCTTGTCAGACAAATAGAAGGTCTTGACCACATCTTCCAGGGGCCCATGTTTGTGGAAGCAGACTGGGCATAGTGCTTCAAGTAAGCACATGATCACAGAGTACAGTGTCCACTTCATGACATTCATGAAGGCATCATCTTCTAGAATGAAGCTGTGATGCCTGCATTTGGCAGGCTTTTGGTTTGGCACTTTGGATGGTAGTGAACAGACTGAAACCCAATCTGAAGATGCATCAATGGACAGGTTGCCCTGCTTTCCACAATCCACATATGGAATATTAAGTCTTTGTTGTCACCACCATTGCCAAGCTTCACCTCCTCTGACATGCTGGCTGGGTGTCCTTGACTGCCACAAGCTGCCTTGGATCATGAAGCAAGTGCATTTCCTGAATCTTGAGGACTACAGTTATTCACAGGACCACCATTGGATGGATCTAACATCATTATATCTTCGCTCTGGCAAGTGAAGTTGGCCAGTGAGAATGCTGAGCTGGCAGTTGACCTTGGTGGCATTGCCAGATGTTTGATCTGGCTGTTGATATGGTTGGCACATGAGGTACTACCTTCATCAAGACTTCAAGTGGTATCAATACAATATAACTGTGCAGGGAGAGGACAGGGAGATGGAGGTAGTAGGGCCCGGTTTTGGTGGAATAAAAGCAGGTCTCTGTCAAGTGCCTCCACCAGTTTAAGCACCCATTCAAACCAGGGGGACAGGGCCTGATCCAAATCAGATGATGGTTGTCAAGGCCCAGGCCTCACACACACTGTGAGCTTCAGCACATATATATCACCAAGCTTTGGATCAAACACCTGATATCTTGGGGACTCTCCCTCTTATCTCTCCATGAACTTGCCTTTTCTTTTCGAAGTTCTGTTCAATGGCATCTGAAGCTCTCATAGTACACCATCTGAGTATGATGGTAATAACACCACCTCACAATGACCCCAGAGTGTGGCTCAGTTGTGGACTGCTAGGGACACACATCCCTGTGCAGGTGAATGGGCAGGGGAAGTTGGAGGCTGCACAACTCTCTCTCAGCCAATCAGGTGTGCTACACATGCATCATATCTGGGTTTGGGTTAATGAGCACAATGGAAGGCAACAGGTGAGAAGAGTTTGCATACATTGGGATGTGATAGTCACTGAAGGAACGACCCATGCAGGTCTTGGTAGACACCAATCAGAACAGCACTGTCATTATTTGAGACTGGCAGGGTGATTTTCCCCTCACCAAATTGCCATATTGTGAGGGCACACAGTCAAGCAAGGCTGCTGACTATAACCCAACAAGATGATGAGATTGCCAGTAAGACCAAACACCCTATATCAACAGGGGTATCAGTGGATATCAGAGTAGACTTGAGAGGATTCAGACAGGAAAGCAGAGATCAGTAGAGTTCGGGAAGAGTTTTGATGAGATGAGATAACTAGGCCTATCTCTACAAGACGGTGGAGATTCCTCAGAGATCAGATCTAAGGAGAGTAGTACTACCCTACTACTGCTTATATACTCATAGGGCATGGGCTGTGCACATGGAAGAATAATCAAAAATTTACCTTGATTAGGGCTGGCTTTACCAATTCATGCAAGTTGGCATCCATCAGTCCTTGTGTTGGGTATTCGGAGCTGGCTCAGTGTGGAGACCCTAGCCTGTGTTGTCAAAGTCCA